GCCTAAACCTATACCTAATGCACAAAATTAGCAATTAATAATTCAAGATACTTTTGAACCCAATGAACACTGCATAGAAATGCATTGCCTTGTTCAAATGTACTTGTAAACGCTATTCTTTAGGATTTAGTTGTGCATGCATTATATAATTAGCTGCTTGTCTATGACATCTTTAATACTCAAAACAAAATTAAATTTAAGTAGTATACTGGTATTTAAGGGGAGCATCTACCCTAAATTTTATCACAGTAATTTACAGAGGGATCAATTTGAAATTTGGTACACATGTGTAAACCCTAAAAAAACTCGGGTCTTATTCACATAAATTTTTCAGAAAAATTAAAAGAAAACTTGAAATTCTTAGAAAACGGCTAAAAAGGGGTACTTTAGAAAACCTATCTCCCTAGGATTTTCAAGCTACAACATCGAGACACATATCATTCAATGCATAAAGACCATATCTACAAACTGGTCATGGGTTTTTTTAATTTTTCATTTTTGTGGGTGTTGAGAACATTTTGTCTGAAATTTTTTGAAATTTTTTATTTTACATCCACTTCCCAGTTCCCCCCCATTTTGCAAAATAAAATCGTAACTATAACAAACTTGGAAAAAGCCCACAACCAGTTTGTAGATCTTTTCTTTGCAAATCAAACGGTATATGTCTCATTTATGTAGCTTTAAAACTCTAGGAGATAGGTTTGCCGTGAGAGAGGTTTTCATGTTTTCAAACTTTCCAGTAGAGGAAAAACTGCGGCGGGCTATGTAAAAGCATGTACCGTAGCTTAGATACAGGAAGTAAGCATTTTCTCACTTCAAAGTCAGTCAGTGGTGCATAGGACGACTACATCAACACCTTTCTACATGATGGCTGAGTGATAACTGAGCTGCGGGTCCAGTGATAGCCATTTTATATGACTTGGCCATAATTATCCCCATACACTTTTGTGAAGGGACCCCACCACCCTCCCCCCTTTTGGGATCTGTCCTGAACGCATAAATCAACGTAGATAGATGGTTCTAGTACTGTTCGATGTGGCAGAAAGTAAACTTTAAGATGAGCTTAAAAACTGGAAAAGCCAAAAATTTCAATTTTTAGGGTGGACGCTCCCCGTAATAAAATTGTTCAGAATTATTTCTGAAATTCTACCGCCCTATTTGCTAATCATCATGCTACACTGAAACATTATTTTAATCAACATTATTTTTTTATGACTACGAATTTGGATTGGCCTTAAACTCGATGAAGTTCACAGCACACTGTAAAACTTGGAGGTTTGTTTAATATAACTCAAAAAGGTTATATCAAGACATGATCAGGTCAAATATACTCTGCTACCATCAAATGGGGTAATAAGGGCCAGTTTCGAGTGTTTTTCTTTAATAACTTCTCATCATGAAACATTTCATTAATAAGTTTGGGCTCATTTTTAAGCTCTATCAAAGGCTATCATATGGCATCTTAAAAAAATTCATATGCTATTCGTAAGGTGCCAGACACAAAAGAAAAGCGTCCCAAATTACCCCTAGGCATGGGGTAATCCAGGACACTTGAAATAAAACTTGATTTAAAAACATTTGAAGCATGTATTGTGTACTTACTAACAGTGAAATCCTCCTCTTCCTTTATAGATAATGTAGATGTAGAATAAATGACATTTTCTGTTGTTCCCATGTCAACTGCAGGGGGATTAACTCATAACACACTTAACTGAAGCTGAATTGGTCTAATAATGGTGTACCGTCAACCGAGGCTACTCGGGAAGGGCGGGGTAACTCGGGACAGTCTGATTAGTATAGGAGAATATAACTATAACCGTTAAATGATTTATTAAAAACCCATGATGATTAGGAATAGGAATAAAGTATAAATAAGATAAGAATAGGGATTGGGGTTTAGAAGCGAAGTTTGAATTAAGGGGTGTGGAGCTCGAGCCGTCTAGCGCGCATGCGCGAGACCGGGGGAGTATTTAGTAGGGGTGAGCGGGCCACCGCGAGCAGTTCCGTTGCAGTGTTAGAGGCAGTTGGACCAAACAGTGAGTTCCGCACCAAGACGTATTATGGGAAGAGCTCCGCGTGTGAGATAAAAAGTGTCCGTTCAGAAAGCGTTAGATTACTCGCACACCGTTTACCGACAACCGAAGTCAACGAAGGCCTCAATGATTTTTGAAGTTCTTGTATACTACTCGACGAAGTCCTACCTAGTTCATTCCTGAAGTCAACGTCTACGGATTGGCTACTAAGAAAGCACTAGATTGGCTACTAAGAAAGCACTAGATTACTCGCACACTGTTTACCGGCTACCGAAGTCACGAAGACAACCAAAGTCAATGAAGACCTCAATGATTTTGAAGAAGTTCTCGTATTCTACTTGACGAAATCCTGCCTAGCCCCGGATCCGTCATGGATTGGCCGCTTCTACAGATTCCGGTGATGTACATCTGTGTAACTTTGGGATACTAGCAGGTTATAGTTCTGGGTCTGTAGTAGTATTACCAAATTTCTGTTGTCCCATGAACAGCTGTTATAGAATGTGTCGACAAGCAAACCTGTATTCTCACCGTGCCCAGCTCTGTATTAGGGTGAAATTTGGTGTCTTTAAGTATATAAGAGTTGACATGCTTATTTGTATCTTTTCCCTTGTTAAATCGCACTGCCATTAGTAGAGAACCTTCTACGCGCCTCGTTGACCACTCGGATAATGTAAAATCCAGTACAACCAACCTGACAGTTTAAAATGTTTTATGAAAAAGAAACTCTGCCGAGGATAAACTAAAAATTGATAGTTTGCCGTGAGTTTTAAAGCGGACAGTTCAAGAAATAGCATGAGCTAATATCGAACAACGATTATATGAAAATAGGAAAATAAAAGGAAGTAGACATCTTTTGAACCATACATCAATTTTATAATCAAGTCCTCCGACACAGCGTAAAACCAAAACAAGTACCAGAACTAATTGGAATATTGCAAAACTAAATATAGTGGCCTAAACGTCAACATTTTTCCTATCTATGTAGTATTCACTGTAAAAAAAATTTTACTTACATAAAAGTTGCACCCAGGTGTCAGCTTGAAAATGTAATTGACAGATTTTGCCTATCTCATTCCAAAAAAAAAATGGCGGTCATTTCCGCATGGTAGGGCTACTCGGGACACCCCCCGGGGCTATTCAGGACACCCCCAAAAGCGCATTTACAGTTGAACCTCAGTTAGCAAAGGCTCCAGTTGAGAAAAAATTGATTAAAAACAAAGAATATTGATTACATTTACCTTGCTGAGCAAAAAAAAAGTTCACTTATTGTCACACAAATTACAAGCCGTCCTGTAAGCTTACAGATACAGAAAAAATGCTATAAGGCTGCTGACATGAAGCTTGCAGTGAACTAGGTTGTTGTAAATGCTCAATGGCATGTTCATGGATACTGTAATATTGCATCAATAATACAGTAATATCCCATCAATAATACAGTACGTACTGTCAACTGGGGAATTCGACCACGTTCATAATGATGGCCAAAGCGGGGTCATAAACGATGGCCAAAGTCACTCCGCTGTTTATGACCTTGTTTACAACCCTGGCGTTTACGACCCCGTTTTTGTTTGCAAAACAAAATCAAAAAGTCATCCCAGTTGATGGGATTTAATGTTTATGGTAATATATCAATAAAGGAAAAATGAGTAAAAATCACAGAAAATGTCATTTATTCTACCTCTACATCATCTACAATGAAAGAGGAGGACTTCAGAGTACTGTTAGTAATGGATGAGTACACTCTGCATTCTTCAAATATTTTTAAATGAAGTTTTATTGCAAGTATCCCAAGTAGCCCCGTTCGACCGAGGGGGCTACTTGGGACACTTTTTTTTTTGCTGTTTTGGCATTGTCAAAAAAATTCCATATGATTAGCATATGGAATTTTTTGACAATGCCATTCGATAGCCCTCGCAAAGAGCTATAAAATGAGCCTAAACTTGTCTATGACATTTTTCATCGTAAGAAGTTATTAACAAAAAAATGCTCAAAACTGTCCCAAGTAGCCCCGGTTAACGGTAAGTAAAGAATTGCCAAAAGAGTTATGTTTTATTAAGGGATTTTAAAATACAGCATACATGTCAATAAATGTACTGAGACAATATTCCTTATAGTGCTTTAGACAATATTCCTTATAGTGCTTTTAAAAGCACTTCCTTCTAGTGCTTTTCCTTATAGTGCTTTTCCTTATAGTGCTTTTCCTTATAGTGCTTTTCCTTATAGTGCTTTTTTAATATTCCTTATGCAAATGAAAGCACTTCTGAGGCAAATGAAGGCCCAGTTGGTTTGAATTAAAAATATTTTCACATTAAACATAAGTTTTGATTCTTATAAACCATCCATTATACTAAAGATGGAAGTTCATGTCCTTATCAATGTTTTAACAACTAGCATTGTGATAGTCAAGTAGTCAGACTACACGAAAACTTACTGACAAATTGGAGAACCTAATGACTAGCATGTGGATACTTAACAACCTGGAGTCCATTGAAATACTATTATAATGAATCTTGTGCTATACCTGTGAGTATACATTGTTCAAGAATCTATCCTCACCTGAGGACAGATTCTTCAACTAATTGGAGGGAGGTAAGTCCTATCCCAGACTTATATTAAAAGGGGTAGTATTGGTAACAAACCCAATATAGTACCTACATGGCTAACATCTTTGACCATGAGGTCAGATTAGCTGCTACAATGAGGGCTACATTGTTGTGGTGGTGCAAGCATCTGGGGGGCTTGTTAAAGTGCCCAGATCTTTAATAGACTTGGTGCTTCTGCCCAACTTGTTTACCAGTCTTGTTTGTATGATGTGTTGATGCTGACTCAGTGTCCAATTATAGATTAATCTCTTCCACAACTAGTGAATTTTGCACCTCAAATTACGAATTTTATATTTTATAATATAACTGAACTGCTTATGATCTAGCTAGGAGTTGAATTTTATTTTTTTACTATGTTCATTTATGTTATTTACTTGATCTTCTTTTACAGGAATCAAAGATTTGAAATTATGTGAATTTTTTCTACTTAACTAATTTTTTTAGTAGAAATGGCTGCTGAGATAAAACCAATGACTTGTGCTGCAAGTAGCCAAAAGACACTTACATCTGAAAAGCCAAATTTGCTGTCTAAAATTGATAGTCCTGGTCATGAAGTATTTGGTGTTCATATTTTGTCACAAGGCAGATCAATTCTATCCATTTCAGATGACAGGTATGTCTTATTATTACATGTTGGATTCATTGTAATATTAAAGTGCATTCTCTTCTATCAAAAACACACAAATCTTCATCCTCCATTACAGATCATTAGTATTAGGACTAAGTCATGAAAACATGTTGTGTGTCTGTGTGTTGAATAAATTTTACCCTTTTCTGTTATGTGCCTTTGATTGAACAGATATGAGTGACTGTAAATTAATGGCAGTAAGCAGCAGCACCTTAATATTTATTTGGGGAGCAAATTTGTGAAATGTGAACAATATGGTAGTAGATTAACAGGAAGGAAAAAAGATGCATGGTGCAAATACATATAAAGGGAAACTATGGCCAAGCTTTGCAAAAGTTTCAATCATATGTTGCCATCAGTCTTTACCATCAATACTTTCAAGGAAAAAAATTATGTGTATTGCCCATCCTATTAGTGGCAACTTGAGGAAGTTGGTGACTGTTGGCCCCATTTTTTGATAGATCAGTTTTTCTAAAGTAGTTGGGCAACAATCACTTGCTGACTGACATACCAGAATCATTTTGCTGCATCACACTACGCCCTGGACCAGCCAGGTACTCGTATATCATTCATGATTGGATGAATAACTGAGTTTGCTGTGAACTGAGCTTCCCAGAAGAATTTATCCCAAGTGGGACTCAAACTCAGGATTGCTGGGTGCAAATAACATAGTCTCATTACTGCATTGTGGAAAAAAAAGGTGCACTGTGAGGGTTGAAGAGAATGTGGAGACCATCCTTAAGCATATTTCTAAACCCCCATAACAACAACAACACTTTCAGGCACACTATGTGGCCAACCATGGCCTTTTTTCAGAACATTCTTAATTGATATTCAATTGAAAGGTACTTATATTGGTTTTAATGAATACAGTAATTGTATTGATTGGATGATTGAAGCAAAAAATTTGAGCTAATAGGTTATTATTAAGCAGTTGTTATGAGGGAACAACCTACAGGTCCTTAGACATGACTTAAGGGGACCGACTACCCTAAAATTTTCAATTTTAGCGTTTTCCGGTTTTTGTGCTCATCTTAAAGCTTAGTTTTTGACGCATCCAACCGTACCAGAATCATCCCTCTACATCGAAAAATGATTTCGTAACAGCCCCCCGAAGTGAGGGAGTTTTTAGAGCCCTTCAGTAAAGCCTATGGGATTAATTAGAAGGGTGGACACACTAAAAAGGAACGTCTGACGTAAAGCGGCCAATCATGGCATTATCCGGTGCTCATACTCATCTTAAAGCTTACTTTCTGACAATTCCATTGGTGGCAGAATCATCTTTCTACCTCCATTTTTACGTTCACCACGCCCCATGGAATGGGGGGCGGTGGGGGGCGACCTTAACAAATTCCTAAGGCATTAATTACGGGGCGTGACTTGATATACTGCCAGATGCAGCCAGGTCTTTCAGTGCCCATCATGACAGCGAGGTGAAAGGTGTGCAGCCACTCGCTCTATGCCTTCCTCACTTAGTTTTAAGGCTTGGTTGCAGTATGTTGGCTACGTTGCGACTCTTTTACGTCATTTTACGTGCCACCTGGCAGTTTTTTGGGCGTCCTGAAAACCTCCGATTAGTCGCACGGCAAACCTATCTCCTCCTACAGTTTTCAAGCTACAGCAATGAGACATATACCATTTGATTTGTAAAGACCATACCTATCGAACTGAAGAGCACTTTTTTGAATTTCAGTCTGGTTCATTTTTTATATGGGGGAGAAGGGGGGGGAGGGTGGAAAAATGAGAAAAATGGGAAAAACACGCATAAAAAAACTAAGGGGAAAATGAGAAAAGTGCTCATCAAATCGATAGGGATGGTCTTTACAAACCGAATGATACGTGTTTCGATGTTGTAGGATGATATTTGTAGGAGGAGATAGATTTTCTAATGGAACCCGTTTTTTGCCGTTTTCTATGAATTTCATGTTTTCTATCAATTTTTTCGAAAAATTCATATGAGCAAAATGTTATTTTTTTTACATTTTACGTATGTATGTGAAGTTTCATGATGATCGGATGATAACTGTAGAAGTTTTTCCGGAGGGTAGTCGGTCCCCTTAAGAAGAATGGCCATGAGAGGCATGTGTTTTTTGCAAAACAAACCGTGATGAACAGATGGGCTCCATCCTACTGCCATATATCTGCTACCAAATACACAACTGCCATATTATTGGGGGCAGTAGCATGACCGTCAATAATTCTACAGCCCTGCAAACTCTCAAAGCAACAAAAGAATATCAGAACACAAAAAAACAGAAAGTACAAATAACTGCCACAGATCAACGGATTGCTGCAAGTATGGCCACTTAAGGCAATAGAGTAGACAGGCTGGCAAAGATTATTTGTGAAAGAAGGAAGAGCTGCAATTTAGCAACTGAACTGCTTTCAGAAAAGCATGCAAAATCAATGTCTGTCAGTAGAGTAGGAAATGCTTAATTGTAACTTGGATGCCTCATTGTGCTCAGGATAGATGATACTATTTACAGGAAGACAGATTGAGGGATAGGTTAAGTAATCAATGCTTGTGGCTAGTCTGAATGCCCATATTTTGTCAGCTTTTGGTCTTGACCGAATATGCACTTTCTCACTATTATAGATAATATATTAGTAGTTTCCATTAGAAGCTTTCATCCAGGAATCAATGAAACTTAAGACACCACAGCACATATGGTGCTGGCTTGAAAACAATCTATTCTCTAAACATAACTGAACCACAACTTTCTAGCCTTGTAGCTACTGTGGGGTATCTCACACATTGAAGTTCTGACCGGTATTATGTGGTTTTTTGGACAATCATGGGTCAAGTGCAGTAGTTTCAGAATTGTAACTTATGTGTCATTACCAGTAGCATTGTTCTCTTTTCATATGAGAGCTTAAACTTTCCTTTGAAATACTGTGATGCTGAATCTAAAGTCATCCTATTTTTCCTCAAGTTTATTCCCTATTCATTAATAATGGGTTAAAAATTTGCTAATGGTTTTGCAAATGACTGTCATCCCTAATATTTAAAGCTTTCCATTTCTGATGTTTATTCATGTAAAGTCACTTTTATTTATATTCATAGAGAGAATTATGTGACAGGTCTGTACGCATATGGCAGCAACGAGCAAATGGTCAGTTCTGGCCAAGTGTTTGCCACTACTTATCATCACCACCCACCAGTCTCCACTACACTGCATCTTCTCGGACACTTATCATTGGTCTTCACAATGGAACCGTCATGGTCAGTGCTGGATCTTGTCTGCATTGATTATGAGACATGTTCCCTTAAATGTAGTATTGTATTAGTTGTATTTAGGAGCAGGTAGCCTAAAACCTGGTTAACTAACTCTTGAAACTCTGCCTCTTTTGTGATATATATTTATGCATTCCCTCAGATTGAGAATAGCATATGAAGAGGATATTCTACCTTCCATATTGTGTATCTTTTCCTCTTGAGAATATTTCTGGTGATAATCAAGTGCTAATGTTGTATCTGATCCCAATCTGATTTTTTTTGTCACAGGAGTTTGAGGTAGCCCCAGATGAGAATAGCTTGAATCATCTACGAGATTACCTGAGCCACCAGGGACGTGTGACGGGCGTGCTTTTTTCTGGCAGCCATTCTTGGATACTCTCAATATCCAGAGACAAATTTTTCTCATTCCATTCGACCACAACAGGCCACAGGTTATTTCTGCTTCGGTGTTAATTATGACCAAATAACCTTCCAACATAACATACTTAGTTGCTCTGTTTGATTTATGATACCTTGTATTTTTATTTAATCTTATGCATTTATTTAGCAATGGTTTGTGTTGTTGCAGGCTTGGTGGGTACGAGTGTGGAGGTTGGTGCTCGTCTATGGAGTTTGATGCTCCTACAAGTCATGTCTTCGTGGGTGACTACACTGGCGTCATCACCATGCTCAAGCTTGATGCTGGCAGCTGTACACTTGTCACCACACTCAGAGTGAGATGGTGTGAAAGACTGTTCACTTGTCACCACACTCAGAGTGAGATNACACCTGTATTGCTGTGTGTAGGGCCACACAAGACACCTGTATTGCTGTGTGTAGGGCCACACAAGACACCTGTATTGCTGTGTGTAGGGCCACACAAGACACCTGTATTGCTGTGTGTAGGGCCACACAAGACACCTGTATTGCTGTGTGTAGGGCCACACAAGACACCTGTATTGCTGTGTGTAGGGCCACACAAGACACCTGTATTGCTGTGTGTAGGGCCACACAAGACACCTGTATTGCTGTGTGTAGGGCCACACAAGACACCTGTATTGCTGTGTGTAGGGCCACACAAGACACCTGTATTGCTGTGTGTAGGGCCACACAAGACACCTGTATTGCTGTGTGTAGGGCCACACAAGACACCTGTATTGCTGTGTGTAGGGCCACACAAGACACCTGTATTGCTGTGTGTAGGGCCACACAAGACACCTGTATTGCTGTGTGTAGGGCCACACAAGACACCTGTATTGCTGTGTGTAGGGCCACACAAGACACCTGTATTGCTGTGTGTAGGGCCACACAAGACACCTGTATTGCTGTGTGTAGGGCCACACAAGACACCTGTATTGCTGTGTGTAGGGCCACACAAGACACCTGTATTGCTGTGTGTAGGGCCACACAAGACACCTGTATTGCTGTGTGTAGGGCCACACAAGACACCTGTATTGCTGTGTGTAGGGCCACACAAGACACCTGTATTGCTGTGTGTAGGGCCACACAAGACACCTGTATTGCTGTGTGTAGGGCCACACAAGACACCTGTATTGCTGTGTGTAGGGCCACACAAGACACCTGTATTGCTGTGTGTAGGGCCACACAAGACACCTGTATTGCTGTGTGTAGGGCCACACAAGACACCTGTATTGCTGTGTGTAGGGCCACACAAGACACCTGTATTGCTGTGTGTAGGGCCACACAAGACACCTGTATTGCTGTGTGTAGGGCCACACAAGACACCTGTATTGCTGTGTGTAGGGCCACACAAGACACCTGTATTGCTGTGTGTAGGGCCACACAAGACACCTGTATTGCTGTGTGTAGGGCCTCACAAGACACCTGTATTGCTGTGTGTAGGGCCACACGAGCTGTGTGAGCGGCCTGGCATGGGATGGGGCGGCGCAGCAGCTGTTCAGCGGCTCACACGACCACAGCGTCATGGTCTGGGACGTGGGGGGCGGCAAGGGCGCTGCCTATGAGCTGCAGGGACACACGTCAGTTTCGTGATGTTTAGTTCAAAGAATTTTATATCAAACATAATGATAAGTAAATGCACCTCTTAGCCTTTTAAAACGATAAGCAAACTAATGATATAATTAATTTGTTTTGTGAGCTTAGGTTTGTAAATTATCTCTGTGTTATATTCTATTTCTAGATTTTAAACTCAAAGGGTTTGAATGTTTGTTGTTTAAATCATTTCTTGGGAATATATAGGTATTGAATTTATGTAAAAAGTAAAGATGATTTTCTATCAAAACACAGAATGTCTATGAGTTATTAACACTCGTTCGTGTACTTCTTATTATAATTACCAAAAGCAAACTTTATCTCTTTGCGCATTCACTTCCATTCAAACTTTTCATTTCGGATAAAACCAAAGAGTTGGCAATCAATTATTTTCAATAAATAAAAGCAAGTTGTATAATAGTTTTTACTGTGAATTGCAGAGGCAAAGTTCGGGGCCTGAAGCACTGCAGCGAGCGCAGGGTGCTCGTGTCTGGGGGCGAGGACGGTATGCTCGTGTGGTGGGACATGGCGTGCTCGCGTCTTGTCGTAAGCTCTTTCATAATAATGCTATTATAACTTTAATGTAAATTAAGATTTCATAGCTCATCGTTAATAATGCAAGTACTATTAATATTATTCTACAAGGCAGTTATCGTGGCGTCTGATGTAACTAACTAAATAAATACCTACACGAGAAAGGCTGAGAAGTGATAAAAATGATTAAGCACTTGATTCATAGGCTCTACGAAATAGTTCTGTCTTTAGGCGTCAACGAAACACTTGCAACAAAGGAGCCGATGTTACTTACGGAAGCCTGCAGACTGTTCCAGGTTCTGGCGGCAGCGATCAGAAACGCTCTGTCGCCGACGGTAGATTGACGTGTAGATGGAACGACGAGGTCCGCTGTTGATGACGAGCACAGTCGTCTTCTGGAAGGCAGATCCAACACGCGCTGCAGACATTCCGTGAAATAAGGAGGCGCCAGATTGTGAAGGCATAGAAACTACAGAACAGCGACCTTGAACTGCGTGCGCAGTCAGTGAAGATCGCGCAATATCGGCGTCACGTGATCGAATTTTTGCTTATTGCACACGAATTGTGCAGCAGCGTTCATTACGGTTTGCAGTTTATTAAGTGCCATGGTCGGAAGTCCATAGATTGTGGCATTACCTTAGTCCAATCTGGTCAGAACGAGCGCCACCACGAGGGCCTCGACAGACGGCGGCTGACGCTACGTATTCGACTAACAGCGCTAAAATGTGATTGTTTATCGTAGAAGGCGACCAATAGTACATGATTTCATGTCGCAAGTTCTGAGTCCAGAAGAATGTCCAGGTTGCGAAACGAACTCTCAGGCATGACGAACTCGTTGCCCACGCGAACAGGGTTGGCTGGAAGCTGATGCCGGCGCTAAGCAGTCGCAAACTGAATAAAATCGTTTTTATGCATTGAGCTGGAGCCTGTTGGAGCGCATTCAGTCTGAGACGACGTCCATGCAGACATCCGGTCCTGCGACACTGCAGCGTCAGCTGGTGCTAAGTAGCCATAAATTTGGATGTCATCGGCTAACATATGCAGATTCAAACTATGTGAATCAATTATGTGCAATACGTCAACAGTATATAACAGCAAGGGAATCGGGCCGAGGACTGATCCCTGTGTAATGCCGCAATGACCAACGGTGGCGTAGATGAAGAATTCCCACGTCAAATGCATTGGAATCTATTGCTGAGTTAGGTTTCTAGCGGCTGCATCACTGTGCCGCGCATGCCGAATTATACCTCAATTGTTACTCAAGTCGACGCATTAAAGTGGCGTGGTCGACCGTGTCAAATGCGGCCGACAGGTGGAGTAAAGCCAATGCCGCGATGTCTGAAAGCTCCTTCAGCGCGGCTGTTACCGTCGAGTGGTTTAGACGGTATGCAGACTGAAGGTGAGGCACCAAACCGGACTACTGAATATGGTTGTTCAGCTGTCGGGCCACAACGCGTTCCAGGAGTTTCAAAAATCGACAGGTTGGAGATGGGTCAATATGATTTTGGATAAGAAGCGTCAAGGTCTGTTTTTTAATAGGCGTAATGTAAGCTGATTTTAAGTTCTCTGGAACAACACCTTCAGAGATGCAGCGGTTGAAAAGTTCGACCAGAAAGGTGCTGGGCTTAGGACGTTCTCCTTAATTAACGACGTCGACAGCGGATCGCTGGCACACTGCTTGTTGGGCAGCGCGCGCACTGCAGTGATTACTTACGGTAGTCAGCTGCGACGCGAGTGAATTCTTGGAGCACGCAGTCGATGGGCACGGCGCAAATGTTACCGGCGGAGCATCTGCTGACGACGCTAGCGCAGCAGAAATATTGTTTTCAAAAATCGCATGGAATTCCTCCATGCTTACGTCACCCGCAGCATCTGGTTAATGGCTTCTTCTCATAAGTTTATCCAGCGAACGCCACAGCGCTCGAGGGTCGCCAGCACGTCGACTCTGGAGCCAAAATAACTTCTGGATCGAAGACGATCACTATAATTGCGCCGCGCATCTCGCCAGGTGGAGGCCTCAATTACAACTTTAACGTGAATTAAGGTGTCATGGGCTCCTTTTTAATAACGCAATTACAGCTAATGTAAATTAAGGCGAGGTGCTTGTGTGGTGAGACATGGCGACCTCGTGTCCTGTCGTAAGCTCCTCTTCAGATATGCGCGTGACTCGTTAGTTCTAGAATGGGGAGCGGCAGTATGATGAAATGCGGGGCAATGTTGTGATAGGTGCCTGTGTAAAATTGTCATAACACTGAAGTCTCTTGTATAAATTGAGGATGAAAGTGTGATTACAATCCTGGCTATATATATGCATAAATTAACATGTTCCTGTACAGTTCAGTATATATCGCTGAGCTGGTTTTAAATATTAAAACCCAACTCATGCTTGTCTCAGACTCTTGTAATGTTTTTGACAGCATAGGCTTGTAGTTATGTCGTAGGTGTCGAATACTCTGGTTGGTTATATTTATAAGAGGTTAAAAAGCAAAGAGGTTCTTAGTTACCTCATCTGTTATATATGTGCTGATGAACTAAGCATTTCAATTACACGTCCTTCAATTACGGTAAATTCATTTTGGTTTATATTGTCTACATTACCAAAAACGAAAATGCTGATGAACAAAATCTATATCGTGTTGTCCTCAAGTCATTTTTGTTGCTGTCTTGTAGTATTGAATTTGTTTTACGTCAGACCCCAGAGTGGAGTGAGAGCGACAACTGCCAGTACTGCGGCCGTCCCTTCTTCTGGAACGTCAAGGCAATGATCAACCAGAAGCAGCTGGGGCTCAGGCAACATCACTGCAGGTCAGTTAGTGGGCTCAGGCAACATCACTGCAGGTCAGTNGTATCTCTGATATCTTGCGCAATGGGAATATAGTATCTCTGATATCTTGCGCAATGGGAATATAGTATCTCTGATATCTTGCGCAATGGGAATATAGTATCTCTGATATCTTGCGCAATGGGAATATAGTATCTCTGATATCTTGCGCAATGGGAATATAGTATCTCTGATATCTTGCGCAATGGGAATATAGTATCTCTGATATCTTGCGCAATGGGAATATAGTATCTCTGATATCTTGCGCAATGGGAATATAGTATCTCTGATATCTTGCGCAATGGGAATATAGTATCTCTGATATCTTTTGTTGTCACTTAATAGTATGTTTTGACTGGTTGCTTCGGTGCTTGACACACTTCCCTATTCCAACCTTCGCTCCCACGCTGTGTCCCTACGAAGGAACTTGATAGGAGTCCTTCATATCACAATACTATTTCTTTAAATTATCAAGTTCATTTAATGCCAATTAAAGAACAGAGCCACACCGCAGGTGATCAGTACACGAGACCCGAGGCTTCATGCAAGTGATGCTCTCACTGCTACAGGACTCTCTCACTGCTACAGGACTCTCTCACTGGTACAGGACTCTCTCACTGCTACAGGACTCTCTCACTGCTATAGGACTCTCTCACTGCTATAGGACTCTCTCACTGCTATAGGACTCTCACTGCTATAGCACTCTCACTGCTATAGGACTCTCACTGCTATAGGACTCTCTCATTGCTATAGGACTCTCTCATTGCTATAGGACTCTCTCACTGCTATAGGACTCTCTCACTGCTACAGGACTCACTATTCCTCTTGTACAGGAAGTGCGGCAAGGCCGTATGCGACAGCTGCTCCAGCCGCCGCACCAACATACCGGCCATGGGCTTCGAGTTCAACGTGAGAGTTTGTGAGCGCTGCTACGAGACAATCTCTGACCAGGAGTGAGTTCATTTCTATGCTAATCTGTTCTCATTCAAATTGCTTTTTCCGTTTGAGTGCAAGGTTTTCACTCTGAAGTGCTGCACATTTGCCTTCTAATTCTTTAATCGTGTTTATTAACATCATGCATTGGCATCACATCCAGAGATGTTTATTGAATGGATTTATTAATGTTGTATATTATGAACGATTTTGATTATTTAGCCAAAACCCTTATTTCCAAGTTTGACATCGCAGTCTTATTGACATATACAATATTTGAACTACTAGGCTTCATCAATTGATGTTTTAATTGAAGCCTTTATAGATGTGATGTTATGGTTTACACGTGAAGGTACAAACTGCACTCTTTGTGAAATTTGCCTGTAGTTTGTTTGACAGTGTTTGCCTGCAGTTTGTGTGGCAGTGTTTGCCTGCAGTTTGTTTGGCAGTGTTTGCCTGCAGTTTGTTTGGCAGTGTTTGCCTGCAGTTTGTTTGGCAGTGTTTGCATGCAGTTTGTTTGGCAGTGTTTGCATGCAGTTTGTTTGGCAGTGTTTGCATGCAGTTTGTTTGGCAGTGTTTGCATGCAGTTAGTTATGTTTTCTGCTCGCGCGCCTGTGCAGCGATCATGTTTGTTGTGTTCAGCTTCTATCATCAGCCATAATTTGCTTCCTCATCTGATTTCATGTCTATGTTTATCCTCATCTCATGTCATGTCGTTTATCTTCATCTCATGTCATGTCTATGTTTATAACTACAATAAACCGCTTGTTGCAATAAATAATCACCGTTCTTCTCTGGCTGCCCCCAGGAATGTGGCGAGGTAAAGGTGGCGAGATTTTGTCCTGTTCAATTTTTATTTTTGTAATATTTTCCTCATGTCGACCTTTTTATCATTTGCACGTATTTATCAAGCGGACTGGAAATATTTAATTTTCGCAATACAATTAACACACTTGGCTTGTACAGATTAGTTGTGGCAGGCGTCTTGAAAATACTGAGTGCAAGTCATGTGTTGTGGCTCACAGAAATAGGGACACTATTTTCCTTTGTAGCTTTAGCTGCACAATGTTGACATGAGATGGTAGCATAAGTGGCACAGTTGCTAGTTATTTATTGGTTAAATTTCATCCTTCTCTATTTATTTCATGTCCTTTTCTACGTATGAGTTTCGATGCCTCATATTAATAATTTGATCCCGTTAAATTAATTCACATATAAACTCTATCTTCAAATCGCTTGATGGACATGGCACTTACAGCAAACTACTCAGTAACAGTTAACGAACATTTCAGCCCATTTCTCTATTCCAGTAACTCAGCAACAGCAAGTTACTCATTATCTCTCTACCAATATTTCATTTGTTTATTCCAGTAACTCACCAACAGCAAGTTACTCAGTATCTCTCTACCAATATTTCATTTGTTTATTGCAGTAACTCACCAACAGCAAGTTACTCAGTATCTCCCTATCAATATTTCATTTGTTTATTCCAGTAAGGAAAGTCTGGCTGTGTTCCATGAAGCCAAGCATCCTGTGACCGCCATGGCCGTTGACCTCGAGTGCGGCTCTCTGGTAACTGTCGGTACGTCAAATTTCTCATACATTTTGCTTGTTTTAACATCTACTTCTTCTAATACCGCTGGACATTTTCATGTTTTACTTGTGCTGAATTGTGCAGATTGTAACATTGAGCTTTGGCTGCTCGTGTGAGTCAACCCGTCCTATTGTTCGTGACGTTAGTTATTGACTTATTGTTGGCTTGAAGGGCCTAAATACCTACCTGTATCGTGAAGGTTCATGTACTTTATGTTATATTGATATCATATGTAGATATTTTTGTGTTAGAGTCCGCGTTGACATTGATTAGATTTCCAACTGTAAACATGTTATCGAAAATGAGCTCTAATGTTTCATGGTATCTCATCCATCCAATTTTCCGATGATATAATCCATTGACAACACGATTAATTTTAATGGTTAACCTATGATTCATATTTATCTTTCATATGTTGCTCCATAGTCTCTGAAAATGATTATTAATTGAATGAATGGACTTGCATGAATCTATTTTCTATTGCAGGTACGGACAACGTCATCAAAATTTGGGACGTGAAGCCTCTTCTCAACAACTGATGCGTCAGCGCGGTGCTGGCGTCTACGGGCCTGCATATCATTAATTACCAAGTGTTTCTGTTGTTGCATTTCTATCTTGATTCACCGTGTCGTATCTTCCTTGCCTTTTGTATTTTTCAAAGTAACAGCTATTTATTCTCTTCACTTTCTTTCTCAGCGAAGGGAATAATTTATCGAGCTCGAAATTAGCTAGCAGATACGACTTGGTTTTTGCAATGGGTTTACCTTGAGTGCAATGTAGTTAGAAATAATCTCCCGTAAGCGGAAATTTTTTCAATGAAGTGTCCTGCATTTGACAGAACTAATGAGCAAGCTTCTTTTTTGTCTTAACATCAAGATTTCTGTTTTCAGGCATGCCCTTAAATTCAATAATCCTAATCTCTTCAACAAATACTGTGGTTCAAGAGAAACACTCTGAGCATAGGGAGTCTTCTAAACAGCGTAGAGTTTGTAGGATGAATAAGCTCAGATATTGCAAGATTTGGACGAATAAGTAGTTGCTTATTACAAGTCATTGTAGGACAAAATCGTGAACGGTTGGGTTGTTGAATGTTATTAAACTATTTACTGATGGGAATTTCTATAGCGTGATATGTTGAAGTGGCTGTAGCGTTGATGCAACATTTAATTTATTTCTCTTGATGATAAGCAATATATGTTCTTATAGCGATTGGGACGGCCCCAGCCCTCCAAGAGTTTATGACATAACATTGCAGACCGTAACTTTCTCTGCTCGCATTCTTGGTATTCCTCGTCTTAAAGAGTCCTTAAATAACGTAAAAATTTTTATTAACCGTTGTTTTTTTCCTGTTTAAAGTTAGAATTTATTTTTTATCCCTTTCTTCTTGCCTAGGACGTTTGTATACTGGGATGGGCATCTGTTTCTTCGCTTCCGTACTCTTATAATTTCTTTTTGTATCTCATGATGCTTTATTATGCAACTGTTTAATAATGCTGATATTTTATTGCTGATTTACTTGTGGCCGAATGGCTGCTTGCCATGCAATATTCCCTGTTAGGCAGCTGCTTGTTAATATATTCGCTAGTTAATTATTGGCAGGGAATATGTCGCGATTTGCGAAGAATGGCGCCTAAGATCTCGTTATGACAAAAAACATTATAAACATTTTTTTCTTTCCATGACGTTTGTTTTGTCGTCTGCACGACGAAGTAGGAGGAAGTGTCGCCCTACTTGATGCCTTCCATTAACGTTTTTGAACCGTACTGATTTTTGTATACTAAAGTCTTTATCGGTGGAGGAAGAGGCTGCATTTTTCGCGCTCGGCCGTTTTACTATCAACTTTGATCGTGACCAATATTTGCTCTGCGACTTGTGTTAATGAGCTGAATGCATTCCATGTGATGTTCTCATTACTTTGTGCAAATTTATTTTTACGATACTGCATTTTGTAGCTTGAAATAGTAAGGAAGTGTTAGTTTTTTTCCGCAGATTTTATGTTACCATACGTCCCTTATATCTTCGTTTAGTCTCTGCTTCATACTTCAGCAGCGTGATGCGCCTTTAGCAGATACTTGAATCTGCAATTAAGTGCATATATATACATCAATCAATTGTCGTTTATCGAAGAGGGAGGAAGATATGGTAGTGGTTCCTTAGATTCATTTTTTGCCGTTCATTCTCCACTGAATTTGAATTACTGTACAGAGTGAAAAAGTTAATTATGAAGCATGACAAATTTTATTCATTTGAAAATAAGACATCATAAAACTATTTCTGTTCTAGTCCTTTCAAAAGTAATATCAATCTTATACGGCGATCTCTTTACATGCAAGTACGGTAGTCCATTAAAATGTTAACTTCAATGCATGTAATGGTTTTGAAGTCACAAACGAAACTGATCCTGCAAAAACCAGGCATAACAAGGCAAGGACTTCATATGTGGCTTAACCGTATTTGTGTGTCACTTATCATTATTGTGCTTATAATCGTGTATGATAACTCATGTTCATAATGTAAAAGAAACCACACTTCCGTTTCAATAACTTTTATTTCCCAGCAAGTAATCGTAGCGCCATCTGCTCTTGCTGGTTCAATGACATTTTTCTTAGATTAGACGGATGCTCTTCTTCATCAGTTTCTTCAAAACTTCCACTACATGAACTTCCCTTATCTGAGTCAGACTCCGAGTCGTCAGCCTTGAGTCGCTTGCACGGTCGTTCCTCCACTTCATCATCACTTGGCTCACTGTCAGAGTCTCGTCTCCGGATTTTATCAGGATCAGGAAGCTCATCAATAATTTGTTGAGTCAGCGGATCCAATTCATCACCATCATCACTTCGGTCTTCCTCATCTTCATCATCGGCAACATCGATGGACTTCTGGGCTTTACCGCGATTCTTTCTCTCTTCCCGTTTCTTCAGGAGCTCTCTGTTGGGGAAAAATAGATTAGCTCAAATAAGGCAGAATTTTAAATTCAGGAATAACTATTAAAATGGTTACAGAAATGACGCGAGGTGATGAGTGCCCATATGCAAAAAAATTTCTTTTGCAACGTTTCTCGTGGCACTAAGAGGTGTTAAGTTTTCCTTATCGAACTCAACTATTTCATAATTAATACTATTGCATAACTTTGCGGAATACCGGCTGAAATGTACAAAAATTTTCGAACCAAAAATAATGCCGCGAATCCATAACAACAACGACAGCCCGTGTTGCTATGAACGCAACTCGTCAATTATCTTCATGTCTCACCTCTTGCGGGTCTTAGTCTTATCCCTGTGGGTGAACTTGTTGTACTCATCGTCCTTTCTGAAGGCTAACATCTCGTCCAAAGTGAAAAATCTTTGCTGTAAAAATAAGGCATTTTATTAACCGTCAGCAATAAATTAATCGGTATGCAAATTCATCCTCATATGCCATTAGGACCAATTACTAGAACACATGTCTACCATCCTCTAGTTCTCTCGAATGTTGCATTTGATCTCGTACCCAACTTCAAATCTATGATAATTTATTCGACATCTCATGTTTCACGCTTAAGTTGATAATTTCATGGAGACAACTTACTTCAGAAACGCTTACCTTTTCACTCCTGCAGTGGGTTTGTAGAATCGTGACATTGTCAACAATTTTCTTATCTCGATTTGTCAAGTACTTGGATAAATTTTTAGGAGCAGTAGTTCGACTGTCGTTCGATTCCGGCACGGATAAAAATAACTCGTCCATCCGATCTGCGCGCACATTTACAATTGCACATCAGTCATTTTAGGCAGGCATGATGCAACTTACATGATGGCGCACCAGGAAGTGTTCAAATGAAGTTTACTTCAAATGAAAAAGTTAATGCTCGAATGCAAAACTAAAAATTTATTCTCACGTAGGAAATGAATTGAACAAAGGAAGCAATATTGAAATATATAGTACTTGAAGCACTTTATGACCCAATCTACAACATTTGATTTTTTAACGAGTTCTGTCACCTGCTCAAATAAGTTGAAGTTGAATGCATGATGCTTCAAATCCATACGAAACTACAAACACTTTTGGATATTACATTGACTCTTCGGGAGTCAAAGTTAAAAAATTTTTCAATGATTGTCATATGAAATACATAATTGCTCCTCAAATAATGAATGTAACGGATGGTAAACACTTGATTAGCTACAGAATACGCACCCACGAAAGTGACACCTTCGTCCACAACTTTGATAGGTTTAATGGCGCTGTTCTTCAACACCTCCCGGCTGTCGCGATCAATATGCTCAGGCCCCGCGTTGCTGTCACCAGAGTTCGTCTCGTTGACGTCTGCGTGTTGTTCAGTAGCGATTTTGTGTTGAGTTTTGTGCACAAATCTTTCCACGAACCGGACGCGTGGCGTGCTGATCAGGCCATAAGACCTGTAATGATATTTAAGAGTTATATGAATGAATCTAATAACAAACTACGCGAGCACAGTGATCCATCTCTTTAGCGTTAATATTTCATGGGCCTTTACGAAGTTCATGATGGCGATAGGAGTTTTAAAAATAAAGCTTAACGAATATGATAAGAAATTGTCATAACATCCAAGACAAGTTGTAACGAAATAAGTAAATACAACGACACGCTGGTCGGATTAAGCTTGACATTCATCGGATATGCTTGATGAAAGCAGTAATTTGTTACGTAAGATTCACCTGGCCAGTTTGTCACGATCGATCGATGTGACATCAAAGACAGACTTGTCCTTCATATAGACGAGATTTTTAAGGTACGCCTTGAACGCTCTCTCGGCCGCCTCCTTGGCCAACGGTTCTTTGCATACGATGTCTTCGATGCGCCGTTCCTGGGGCTTGATTTGTCCTGGTGCCACACTGCTCACAAGATATAAAATTGAGATAATAAAATGAAGACAAAATACAGTTCCCTAAAGCAACCACTCAATTAAACAGAACATTAATGCATGCCATCCTGAGTGCCACCTTCCATCCTTGTTTGGAGATCAGGAAGCTCGTCGCTGATGCACTACTCCATCACGAGAGCTTTCGTTGCTTCATGCCGTTGACTTGATTGCTCATATAGGCTAATTATAGCTATATAATTAGCACCTTTAACGCGCTAGTTGTACCCCCAAGTACCGAGTTATTTTCAAAGTCACATCCTTGACAGTTTCTAAATAAAAGTTGCATATTTAGCAAGACTCACTCCATTTTCTCGAGGGGCACTTTACTCTTGGCGAGATGCTTAAGCATGCTGGCGCTCTCGCTGGCGGTGAGGACGAGCAAGGCGTTACCGTCCCTGTAGTAGCGAGCTGTGCGGCCCACGCGGTGAATGTACGTCGTCACGTCCTCGGGACAGTCGAGCTGCACCACCCAGTCCACTCCAGTGAAATCTGCCACACACAACAATGTCAAGCTATTCTTTTGCACAGTTATTGCGAACAACTTTCACTGATGTACACGAAATAAACCAGAAGCATGGCAGTTTCTAACTTCCTCTCCTGAATATGCTTGGGTTAACAATTTAAAATTCTATATCGGTCAAAATTAATGTCGAGTAGCTTTTGTCAATTTGTTTGTTTGGACAAGCCTTTTAATCAGTTCTATTAAACATGATGCACATATTCATTATAAACACGTTCATTGCATTACTTAAAATCATCACAGAACCCAAACTTTTTTGCCGGGAATATGAATTTACACAGACTTACTAACTCCAGTACTGTCACTGCGAGCACATCAGGAGTGAGTTATTACAATAGATAAACAGCCTCGTACAGACTCAGAGGCCACGTAAGAGGACAGCCATATAAAGACATGAAGTAATGAACTCACCCAGGCCTCGAGAGGCCACGTAAGAGGACAGCCATATAAAGACCTGAAGCAATGAACTCACCCAGGCCTCGAGAGGCCACGTAAGAGGACAGCCATATAAAGACATGAAGTAATGAACTCACCCAGGCCTCGAGAGGCCACGTCAGTAGCCAACATGACTATCTTGCTCTCAGCCTTGAAGGTGTCGTAGATGACAGATCGTCTTCTCTGTTTCATATCTCCATGCAAAAACAAGATCTTCATCGGCAACTTCAACATCGCCATAGCAATGCCATAGAATTTCGCCTGAAAAATAAGTGCTTTAAAAATAATTGTTGTAGTTTTGGATTGAGAAAAGTTGCAACCACGTAATTGAGAATTAGGTTTTCTTACAGCATTTCATAGTATCTTTGATTTCTATACCCTTGTAATGAACATATGAAACATTAATCAAGTATAAACTCACCTGTTTGCACGTTGATAAAAATACCAGTATTTTCTGTTTTTTAAAGTTTGTAAGAAAAGAGTACAGAAAGCTAAATTTGTCATGAGCTTCACAAATGGTGTAGCACTGCGTGAGTGTCAAGGGAGTAGATGTGGTAGAATTCTCATGCAGAGAACAGGTGACAGGATCAGTGCAGCCTGCTCTTGCTAGTGACAATACATCTCTTGTTTGTGTGGCAGAGAAAAGCAGCGTTTGGCGAGGTTTTGGCAGCTGCAGCAAAATAGTATTCATTTTGTCAGAGAAGCCCATGGATAAGCACAAGTCGGCCTCATCCAGCACAAGTATTTTCAGTGAGTCCCAGTCAAAATTAGGGCATTCAGTCATAAGATGGAAGAGACGCCCAGGTGTACAGACTACAATGTTCATGGAGCCAATGTGGTGCCATTCCAAAGCCAGGTCCTTGCCACCAACCACTAAAGCAGAGCTCAATTGATGTTGTAGAGCAAGAGGTTTGATTACTTCATGGATCTGTAAAGCCAACTCTCGTGTTGGTGTGATGATGAGGGCTCCCATGCCATTCCTTGCTGTCCAACACTCTCGGTGCAGCAACTCCATTACCTGCATCGTAATTACAAGTCAGCCACTTGTTAATTCAAGAAAAAACTTGCCAAGTTGGATAATTTTAAATAAATAATAACAAAGATTTAATAAGGAGGAATGTATCTGAATGACAATAGTAATAATCTAAAACTAATAATAATTTCTAAATACTGATAAAACTCACTGGTATAACAAAAGCCAAAGTTTTTCCAGAACCGGTCTTTGCTTCACCAATGACATCTCGTCCTTTGAGGCTGTGCGGTAGAGTAATTTTCTGCACAAGGGTTGGTTCCACATAGCCACAGGACTTCAGTCCCTTGAAGGTCGGAGTGCTCAGAGGAACTTGGCTGAAGTTTTTCAGAGATTCAGGATCAACATCAGTCCACTAAAAAAAAATCATCAAAGTAATGTTTAGCAGCAACCAATATTGTATTTGCAACCAATTCCTTTTTTAGTTGATTCAACCATGTGTCAAATGATGAATAAAGCCATAGATATGAGTACTATGCTTGATGTATTTCCAAGGTTTTTACCTACCTAAATTTGTTAAACATGCTGACTCATGTCAAATTTCCTTATCAGCAGGTGATAAATTTCAGTTTTGTAATCAGTTAAGAACATGTCATTGAAAGCAAGATTCCCTTTGTACATAAATTATACTGATGATTTTGGCAAAAAAAAAAAAACTCATGGTACATAAGTGGTACTATACACCATCACCTGTCAAGAGTTATCTTGCCAACAGAGTGGGACAGTATTTTACCAAAACCCTGGTGAGCAGTATTGCCAGATATTGTCAGCCAAGCTTGGCTGGGTTGCATATATGATGCACTGCTTTGAGTACCTACCACCAAGCTGTGTAAATTTTATATGAAATATTCATCAGTTTATATTGTATCTTGGAATAATTAAGAAGCTCCAAATTCAACTGAGATCAAAACAAAAAAAAAAGGATGGCTTGAAATTCTTTGTCAGGAAAATGGCTCAAAGTTGCTAAGCAAGAATTAGCAGGATTAGATAGATCCTACCATCAAATGGGGTAATAAGGTACAGTTTTGAGCATTTTTTGGTAATTACTTCTTACCATGAAGCATTTCATAAACAAGTTTGAGCTTATCTTAAAGGCCTTTGCGAGGACTATTGTATGGCATCTCTAAAACAATTCCATACTGTAAAAGGGGGTTACTTAGACTCCCGGGGTAGCTTAGACCAATTTTAGTTTTTTTAACAAAAACCCACAAAATTCAAAAACTATTTGACATGGAAAAATTTTGTCAATGGGCATTAAAGGCCTAATACTGAGGCTACATAACACAATAGAAAGATAAAAATTATGCATATCTAATAGGTTAAAAAATGAAAAATGTGACCCACGTAAAAGAGCTATTATTTAAAGCCTGTTGTAGAACCCCCTTAATTTTTTTTATTTTTTGGGTAAAATAACTCCAGGTTTTGGTGCATTGTAGTAGAACTCTTCTAGTTACATATGCAAATTTGAGGAAAGTGTCATAGTTTGCAAATGGGGGGCACCGCCCCTGAATGGGGGAACCTAGACCACCTAATGTCAGCCCTGACGGATTAACATAGACCGGCTTGGAAATTAATTTAAAATTCTCATATTTAACATATTTTATGTTTGATACACCTATTAATGTTTTTTCTTTATGTTTCAGACTCTACAGAGTCTTATATATGGTAATTTCAACTTAATTTCCAAGCTGGTCAATATTACCCCATCACGGCTGACATTAGGTGGTCTAAGTTCCCCCATTCAGAGGTAGCGCCCCCCATTTGCAAACTATGACACTTTCCTCAAATTTGTCATTTGCATATGTAACTAGAAGAGTTCTACTACAATGCACCAAAACCTGGAGTTATTTTACCAAAAAATATAATTGATTTTACCACCCAGTCTAAGATACCCCAAGAGCTGGGGTAACAAAGACCATCACTTTTTTTGAAATTACATAAAACTATGAGAAGCAGGAGTCAGCAATTTATGGTGAGTGAACCTAGAGTATAGACCTGGGGCCATACTTTCAAAACTCGCTAAGTGAACATAAGTACTTACGCTCTATTTTCTTGTTTATGATTGATAGATCTGGCTTGAAAGGCCGTCAATGATTGGCGGATGAACTTACGATCTCTTAACTTTTTTTGAAAGTATAGGCCCTGTATTTTGCATGTTTCAATTCAAGTTTAATTTAGATAGTAAGAAAATGGCATCATTTAAAAAAAAGTAGTCCAAGTTACCCCCTTTATGGTATGCTATTTGTAAGGTGCCAGAGGCAAAATAAAAGCGTCCTGAATTACCCATGGGAATGGGGTAATACAGCACACTTGAAATAAAACCTAATTTTAAAACATCTGAAGCATGCAGAGTGTACACATCCATTACTAACACCATGGTGCAGAGGGTAGATGCAGCGTCGCCAATATATGGGTTTTTAAGCCCTAAGCATTGCCGGGTAATTTTAAGATGCATCGCTGGGTAATTTTTAATGAAAAGCCATTTATGCTGAGTAATGAAAAACTATTTACAAGCCACGAACTTATTTACAAGGTTGCATGCATGTGTTCCACCAAATAACTAATTTTACCCTAAAAACAGTCCGATCGTACAGCAAGTGTCAACTGAACATGTGATAATGCAGTCTGACCACTCTAATGTGACCGCAACTACGTAATCGTAAACTTGATGTTTACATTTTTTTGGCAGGAACTCATCGCAACTGAATCCTTTTTTCTGAAGCAATATCCTTTATTGATATGATATTGCCATTACATTAATCACCGTATTATTGATGTGACATTATCGTATTATTGATTCAATATTACCGTATCCATGAACATGCCATTGAGCATTTACAACAACCTTGTCCACTGCAAGCTTCATATCAGCAGCCATATAGCATTTTTTCTGTATCTGTAAGCTTTCAAGATGGCTTGTAATTTCACAACATTTTGATTGGGTTAAGTGAATTTACTATAAAAAAAGATCGTGAAAAACATATCTGAAACAGAAAGGAATGTTTTAGTGACAACCATCATATGTTTTGGAGAAATAAATCATAGTTTAGGTCAATTACTTTTCATTCTATGATGTCTGGTGCACAAGTCTACATATGACATTCTATGCGCAATTTTGTGATGACCAACGATGCACTAATTTTTCGATAAGTGAAATTTTTTTCGCCGAGCAAGGTAAATGTAATCAATATTCTTTGTTTTTAATCCATTTTTTTCTTAACTGGAGCCTTTGCTAACTGAGGTTCTACTGTAAATTCGTTTTTGGAGGTGTCCCGAATAACCCCGGAGGGGGGGGGGTGTGTCCCGAGTAGCCCCGGCGTGCAAAAATGGCTGCCATTTTTTTTTTAATGAGATAGGCAAAATCTGTCAATTATGTTTTCAAGCCGACACCTGGGTGCAACTTTTATGTAAGTAAAATTTTTTAATACGGTGAATATTTTTTTGCTACAGACCTTAGCAGAAGTAACTTTTCAAAATAGCGTTTTTCACCATTTTTTTCAGGAATTTTTCAAAGCTAGGAAATGTCGTATTTTTCGACTTCCTTTATACTATATAGATAGTAAAAATATTGACGTTTACGCCACTATTCCAAATTACGCCCAATATTCCAATTAGTTTTGCTACTATAACAGTTTTACGCCGTGTCGGAGGTGCATCCCGAGTTGCCCCGCCAGTCCCAAGTAGCCCCGGTTGACGGTATCACAATATGCCAAATTTATTCTGTGTCGGAATTCAGGGATTTTGTAGGTTAATACTCTAAAGGCTGTTAAATAAATATGGCAACAGTTTGTAACGTTTCATTGTTGCTGGCACATAGTGTGGTGTTTTGAGAGTGACATAAAGCAATCAGAACTCAAGTTGCGCATATGGTGATATTTTTATAGCCATTCATTTCATGCTACGTCCTTAATAAATCGGAATATACCGCATTTACCCTATTATGATTAGTTTAGCTGCTACAACATTTCTACAAAATATTGGACGATTGCCACACTCAGGAAGATGTATATAAACGGGGAAATTTCCGGCGCATATATAGTTTTTTATATTTTCTTCGCGCACGCGTTCGTGTAAATCACGGTCATCGAAATCACGCTGCGCAGCACTCGGCGCGGGCCGCGGAGCCGTCTGACACAGTTCTGATAGACATAGTTTTTATCTGAATGGAATGGCAACATCATCTATAGATTTCAAGTAACGCTGAACGATCTTCGACTTCAAGTGTGATGTGTCCCTCTGAAGCTATTCTCATTTTTATTAATGTTTGTTGTTCGCCTCTATAATTAAATTTCATCGTTGCAATAAAAATGAAAATTTATAATTAAGATAGATTTCTTCCGGTGCCTGTGTTTTTTTTTATGCAATTAGCACTTAATAGTGAATGAATGATTTGCAATGTGGTTCTTTAATCTTGACTTCTGCAGTTCGCACAATCCCGGCCATCAATTCTATGCCGCACAAGAGCAGTTTGTGGAGGAACAGACGCAATACTCAGTACAGTATGTGTGCGGAGAACCATTAACTCGGCGGATTAGCATCGTCTAGGCCAGGGTTGGCGATTTTTTTTATTTTTTTAAAAAAATAAAAAAAATCAAAATTCAATGATTTTTTTTATTTTTTCAGGATTTTTTGATTTATTTGATTTTTTTTATTTTTTCAGCTTTTCTGTCTTTTTGAGGTGTTATTTTTTATGTTGCAATTAGCCTACTAACAATAACAGTATATGGATCATAATGGATGGCTAAAAAGTGCACTTATTGCCTTACTTAGTGTTCCCTAAGTGTTTACCACTTAGGGATTTTTGGGTAAACAATTATTGATAAGTCTATTCATTAGCTTTGTAAAGTTTGTATAGAGCAAGGTAATGAGCTAAATATTGACCATTTCATTAGATTTGTAAAGTTTGTATAGAGCAAGGTAATGAGCTAAATATTGACCATTTAACTGGCTTCAATATACAAAAACACTTCAGGAATGCAGATCTCCTAAACATTGAAGAGTCACACAACAGATAGGTAGCTGATAGCACAGTGCACAGCACTATCAATAGATCTACTAGTTTTATGTCCTATAATCTACCAGACTCTACCTTCTATACACACTGACTAGTAGTGACTGAGTGACTGACTGCACTGTTCCCATTTAATTCAGACCAATAAACCAATACTAAACATAAACTGAATGATAACCAAGCAAACCTCATACGACTTGAAACGAGACTCAAGTTATGAGAAAAGCTAACACTGTTTGAAATAAACAAGTGCACGATTAAAATATTTTACATCCATTCACTGCATTTAATTATTTTATATATAGTCTTATAATTGTAACTGTTTTGTTTCTAGTTTTAAATTCACAAATTTAAAGATTGAAATTAAATATTTTAATTAGAATACTCGTATCGGCGACAGGCCTATCCAGGCCTATTCTTTAAATGCCGAAGATACTATACTATCAGGGTGGAAAATCTTTCTAATTGCCTAAAAGGTCAATACAATCTCAACCTCTCAATATACAGGGTGGAGCAGATCCGATTGAGCAGTTTTGAGGTAAAATAAAAGAGTAATGGAGGTACATAAAGAAGAAAGTTTGTTTTCCTAGAGGTCAGCATAACATACCATTTAGAATACTTATGTTTTGAAAACAATATCTGGAAGATGGGGGCTGTTAGCTGCAACACACTGTTGGAGTCGTTCTAAGAGGAGGGAGTAACCATGATAGTGAATTCCGATTGCTATGCTGCAATGTTGCAAAATTTCTTGCAGCCCATGATGGAAAACATTGTTGAAAATGAAGCATTGAGAGACGTGTGGTTCCAGCAGGATGGGGCTACAGCTCACATAGCTCGAATGTCACTCAATGTTTTGAAACGCATGTTCCCAGACTCTGAGGGGTGATTTACAGTGGCCTGCGAGGTCACCTGATACGAGCAATTGCAATTTCTTTCTTTGGGGACATATAAAAGAAAGGGTGTTCAGAAGTCGCCCTCACTCCCTACCACAGCTAAGGGGTCAGATTATTGCAGAGGTTATGGCCATACCTCGCCATATGTGTGAACGTGCTGTAGGAAACTTCCGAGAACGACTCGAACAGTGTGTTGCAGCTAACAGACACCATCTTCCTGATATTTGTTTTCAAAACATAAGTATTTTAAATGGTATGTTATGCTAATCTTAAGGAAAATAAACTTTCTTCTTTATGTACCTCCATTACTCTTATTTCGCCTCAAAACTGTTCAATCAATTCTGCCCCACCCTGTATAAGCTAGCTAACACATTTAAATTGTATATTGTAATCAACATATAACAAACAGTCAAATAGTTAGACTACTTATAGCCTTATAAGAATTAGCTAAGCTGCTAGCTACGTACAATGTATTGCATTCTTGATGCCTCTGTACCAAAAACATTCCATTTATTGGAACCTAATACACACTAAAGGCAACAAGTTTATATACCAATTTGTCATTCATAGCACATTTATACTAAACCATGAATAACAATACCTCAATATAAATTAAAGACTGTCACTCAATATTTTTAAATATATGAAAAAATAAAAAAAATCCTGATTTTTTTATAAAAAAATCAAGTGATTTAATCACATGATTTAATCATTTTGATTTAATCATTGCCAACCCTGGTCTAGGCCTATCGCATTTTAGGAATTCATTCACCTTGCAGCCGTCTTAGACAGATGAACTATCATCTTGTCAGTAGTCTCGCAATTTTGTTCCGTTGAGCAGCCCTTGAAAATCAACATAAGTTAAGTTTAGTTGCTAAACCTTTTGAATCATGTACCTATTGTTCAGTATTTTCATGTACGTTTAGATTTGCTTTATGTTCTTGATTAGTCATTTGTCATAATTTTCATTGAGCCAGTCTATTGTTTTCGTTATTGTATTTTGTTCTCCTGCTCTCTGGGCAGGTCCACGGTTGTAAGTAAATTCCACCAGCTACAAACGCTGAACGTTTTTTACCCCAAGCCAAAGTGGCGTTTACAATGCCTCGGCATTGACAGTATGCCTCTAATTATCCTTCAATAATATATGATTTTTCTCGATACGGAAATTTGGTGAATGAGAAATCTAGAACTTTATTTTGGAAGAAATTATCTCCAAAGTCATATGGCAACACTGAACACACTATTTTTACATTTCGTATGTTTAATAGCCGCAGTTTACAATTACCGTATGTTCCGTATCTGACAAGCGGAAGAGTCAGAAGTAACCCGGAGTCCCGGACATTTCTTACATTTTATCATTGTTAGTTCAACTCGTGTAGTTGCAGGGTTGGTGATTTTTTTTATTTTTTCATGATTTTTTTTATTTATTTGATTTTTTTATTTTTTCAACTTTTTTGTATTTTTGAAGTGTTATTTTTTATGTTGCAATTAGCCTACTAACAATAACAGTATATGCTGTCTCTTATACACATCTAGATGTGTATAAGAGACAGGTATTGGGATACAACACGGCTTTGAATTAGAACACTAACGAATATTGAACACTACTTAATTACGTTTTAATTAACAGCTATTAGGCTTTTAATTAAGCAAATTTCAATTTTTGTACAAAGCTTTGAACGATCTGTGTGTGTCCAATTCAAGTTGTGTCGGAATTAGTTTTCATGTGTCTAAATCCAACATCTCAACTTAATCCATGGTGGAATTCTAACATATAGTGCTCAAAGGTACTTGTGGGCGGAGTCATGTCATCTCCCATCTGTGAGTGGGCGGAGTCATGTCATCTCCCATCTGTGATTGGTTGAGAGGGTCATACTTTCTGGCAGAAGCCAGAAAGTATGACCCTTCAGAAAGTTTCTGCACTGTGATTGGTCAATAGGATCATGATATCATCCTCTCAAGACTGTGATTGGCTGATAGGATCATGATCTCATGCTATCCAGGTTATGACTGGTTATGGGATCATGATGTCATGTTATCCAGGCTGTGATTGGCTAAGCAATGGCCGTTCCATTGGTCATTTAAAACCCCCTAGAATTTCACCTTGACTTAATCATCTATTAATTTATTTACGACTTGAAATCAGCGAATACAAGTATACTTAAAGGATTCCTAATATATTCACAGACGTATTTAAAAGTCTCAAACCATAATATTCTTCCTATAAAAACAGTTATTCACTATTTGGTAGAGCCATGTCAACCGTCAAATTTGACACATTTTTCGATGATCTCACCACGTGACATGCATTGTCTCTCTTTGGATCTCAATATTTTCCCACTAGATGGCCAAGACCTAGTGTTTTTGCAGTATTTCGACACGCAAATGTATGACGTCACCATTTCAACCATCAATGAACGCATGGAACTAAAACAAAGCTTAATATAAAGGAAAAGCTGGAGAGGTGACGGAATTACCTATGATGTCGGAATATACCACGTTTACCCTATTACAAGCACATAAATTCATGGCTTAAAACAATTTTGCAAAGATTTAATAAGGATTCATACTTTCATGGCTCAAATGAATATACTTATAAATATATTAATATAAATCCAATTCTTGCTCAGAAATTACAGGTTTTCTATTATTCTATATTAGAAGCTAACAATTTCAAATTAGAATCTTTGCAACTGCACATTCCCTTCATAGGTAACATTAACTCTAATATTAGACATTTTAGCAGATAATTCAGGATTCATAATGTAACTCAGCTGCAGTGCTGCATCAATATTGAATACATGATCCACCATTCAAATAATTCCATCGTGGAACCAGAATTCAATTTATGCTGCATCAATGGAGCCAGCCTGACTGAACAGAACAGAAGGTTGATTGGCTTTTGCCGTTGCCGAGAACGCGATAAGATGACTCCAATTTCTTACCTCTTCTAGCCTTTTTTCTAGTTGTTGAAGATCATTTGCTCGACGTTTCTTCTCTTCAATCAACTTATACTTATTATTCTTGCCCATATTTGCCCCAAACAATTAGCAATTGTAACTGTTAAAGTGTCAATATGCAAGACAGCGTGTCTGCAAAATTCTAAATTCCCAAGTTCGCAACCAAGTAAACCAACTACTAATTGGAAGTTTGGACAGACTGAAGTCATCCGCGAGCTCGGATACACTGCGTACAGCGCGGACGAAAAATAGAGTGAAATGGATAGCAGAGTATAATATAGTATAGTAATTTCGACATGGACAACAGGTCATGTTTATCCTGGCACCGATTCCTGTATTATTTCTGACATGTTTAGAGGACTAACAGGAGTCAGTTGAACATGGCGACACGAAGCGAGAAAAAGTTTTGTCGCATCGATGAATTGAACCTAATTTATTTTTCATATTCTTTTTCCTAGTTCATAACACTAGCCCCTGCTGTTGGTTCTTTCTTCATGTTTCAGTGTTTTTCTTTCTTTTTGAGCCATAAATAAACCCTGCGTACACTCGTATTTTTATAATATTCACGTCCAATAGTTCTTCATACGACTGGATCTTTGAGGCTGAAATAATACTTATACTGAAGGTCACGTACATCAAGGCCTTTGGACACTTACGACTAAATTTTTATCCCTATCAACTCACAGCTTACGACCAAATTTTTATCCTTTGGTGAACTCACGGTTTTTCTCAACTTCAGGTGCGACCGTGAGAGTGCGATGAACAGCTTCGTTTGTTTGGCATGTTGGTTCTTGTAGGATCAGTAGACGAGCATCTGGTCGCAGCTAACAGTTTATTTGCTTTATTAACTTACGCTCCGATATGCCTTGAAAACTTCAATTCATTGTGGAAATAAACTCTCAAATTTTCTTCCTCTGTACTCTTCAATTGCCTCTATCATTGCAACAATGTAATCTTATATAGCTAATCTTTTGAGTAATCTGGAGTGGAAGCGATCAGGTCCATATTGCGAGGGTTTGTCGGCTGGATTTAGTTCCGGCGGTAATTTGGAGCGAAAAGTGATTGAGGAGTTTATGGATAAAATTATAAAAAAGGATTAGATAAAAATCAAAGACTTTACTCTGAAGTTTACCTGTAACAACTAGCTTATTCTTTCCTATGTGCTGCTCGTTTCTCTTTAATTTTGTCTTTCTTTCCCTGTCTTACAATATAAGGAGCTTGAATTTATGTTTATGCACACGAACTGATAACTTTCATAGGAATATCTTACTTCATTAATGCTTGAGAGCCGCGGTGTTCACCTGGAGCCTATTGCATAAGGAATATACAAGTCAACTTTGAATATAGTACATAGAGACTATTGACTATATTCGTATATATTATACTATATAGACTTGATCAGGTTCACATCAAAGCTGAACGGTCCTAAGTTAAATACAAAGACAGTATTCAGAACATCGTGCACCACCAGTTCTTGGAGATTCATTCCCTGATAACGGATATATAACAGGGATTCCTATCAATATCGCACTGAAAACTGTCAACATTCTCGACCGAGTGAATGTTAACGATTCAATTACATTAAATATGAATTCCCGTCAGTAGCATATCACCGCACTGGTCATGCTCGACCGATTGATGGTAAACGATTCAATCAAATTGAATAGAAATTACTTTACATTCGTAATTCCGAAATTTTGTCTTAAGTCACAACTTTATTAGATTTGTCCGAGTGTTCCAAGTTAAATAATCAAGACAATTCGAGAATCCCGTTATCCCGTCCTGTAATCCTGGAAACCGTAATACCGACCACGACACTCCTTATTCTATCATACCAAATCCCGCCACCCCGAACCCGGTCATCCTGGATCCCGCCGTTATAACCTTGACTATCCCATCATCCTGAACTATTCTCCCACGAGAAACAAATTCCAGGCCCAGACGCGCCCCAACTAGATATTGTTGGGGCGCCGGGCTGCGAATAAATATTTTTAAAAATTTATATTAATAAATATTATTATTATAAACATAAACTCAAACAAATATTTACAAGTTTGTTCCTCAGCGAACCACTGACTGGAAACAATTCAATTACATTCAACGGCTATAGCGGCAATCGCTGTGCAACTTTCTTTGTTGACATAGTAACAAACTAACAATATCTGCGACTTCTCAAGCGATAATATATTTACAAAGCAAATATATTTGCGACCGATCAAATGATTTTATAATTACAAAGTATATATTTTTGTGACCTGTTAAATGGTTATGTAATCGTGAATAAATTAATTTGAGACGAATTAAGTGATTATATAATTATGAACTGAATATTTTTGCGATCTCTTAAGTGATTATATAATCACGAAGTAAATATATTTGCAGTCTATTAAATGATTATATGATAACGAAGTAACTCATTTAGTGACTTTCAAGTGATTATATAATCACGAATCAATTTGATTTCCAACCTACAAATAATTGTATAATGACGAATTAAATCATTTTGCGACCTCTTAAGTGATTATATAATTACAAAGCAAATCAATTGCGACCTGTATAATTAAACAATGAATTTAAATACTATGATAATGTTTCAAAAATGGTGAACATCTCAATGCCTTACTTATCTTATCCCAAAATAGCAACTCCATGAGCTACAAGAAATCAAGCTTGCAATCAGGAGAAGCAGCTACTTGCATGCCGCCTTAGAGCAATTAAAGCTCAAAATCTCATGCTGCTATTCTGTTCGACATAAAGGGATCTTGCTTTGCATCTATTTGGCAAGAGAACAAGAATTGTTTTTTATTTCAGTCTTTAACTGTGCAATTCATTATAATAATAAAAGATACCCTTACTCTATTTACAATTATTTAATATCTTACATAATGCATCATTATTTCTATAGAGCATTCTTCTCCCCATATGGCTTGTAGAGAGTAAATTTAGAAGTAGTGAGGTTGAGGATGATGACAGGCTGGTGCTGACGAGCGCCCATAATGAGTTTAGTCTTGCCAAGACGCACCGACAGAGGGCGCCACTCTTCGCTTGGAACTTTCACCGAAACTTCGGAATAAAACTTGAGGTGTTCTTCGTCAGTTGAGTAGGTTTGAACTCGAACCACAGCTTCTAGTCTGCAAATTATCATTTGGTTAACTTCAAATTCTATATATTTCGTCTCATTTATGGGTAATGAGGCATATGAAAAAGAAGTTTCAGTAATTTTTGCGTCATTGAAAAGCTGAAAACTAGGTGAAGTGCAACTGATGAATAAAGTATAAAAATGATGATTCACCGATAGACGGAGAAGACAACGCCGTTGCCTGCGACTGTGTGGACCAGTACGTCGGTGGCGTCCTTAGGGGGAGGATGAGCGAGCTGCGCTGGTGGCACTACCCTGCGTATGGCAGCTCGCCCGAACATCTCTATGACGCTGCCGTCGCTGCAGCCCACGTACATCAAGCCTCGCTACCAACACATCGTAAGTGAGGTCAGCAGAATTTGGATAGAAAATTTTGCAAAAAATATGAACCTATATTCTCCGGAATATGAAAGAAAAATTCATAGAAATATAGGAGTTGGGAGAAACATACCAACCTACCGATTAGCAACTCAAAGCGGACCTGAGAAAAAGGCTGTATTTAGAATGGCGTTTCGTAAGAAAATGTAAGGGATTCTACAATTATTAGGGCGGGAAACACCGGAAATCGAAGCATTAACTTCGAAAGCTCAAGCAGTTCGATGATTTTTAACGTCAGTGAATTTAACATTTATTGGTCCGAGTTTTTTTAAAGTTTATTTACTATTATGCCCTCTGTTTCAACTTTTTATCAATATAGGTTTTAATATATTTCCTGCATTGCAAGTTGCTGCTCACTCGCGCGTCTTGAACTGATGTTACAATTTCTTCCCAGGAGTTTGTCATCAAAACATGGCGAATTGATTCATGTTATAAATTAGTAACACAAATATTTGAAACGCACAATCCTAAATTAATTTCCATCTCGTGAAAAAGTTCCAGGAATTTTATCAATTAATAAAATACAGCTTACATGATAATGTTAACATTAGCAATAGGGGTTGGACAATTTGTGCTCACATTTGGCTGCGAAGTGAGGGATGTGAAGACGACTTTTCTGGACGGCAAGAAGGCGGACGCGCCACGGGCGGGGGTGACGAAGAGCGCGCTACCCACGAGGTCGCACAGCAGCAGCGACTTAGGCGTCAGAACAGCGATGGTCGTCTCGCTCACGTGCACCAGCGACAATAGAACTGACTCGCCTCGTAGCTGCTTCTGAGCCAACTCTATGCCTGTGAAGGTAGTCTGGTTAGCTATGATGTAACTCTACCTTAACGGCGACAGAACTGACTCGCCTCGTTGCTGCTTTTGTATGCCTGTGAAGGTAGTCTGGTTAGCTATGATATAACTCTACCTTAACGGCGACAGAACTGACTCGCCTCGTTGCTGCTTCTGAGCCAACTCTATGCCTGTGAATATAGTCTGGCTAGCTATGATGTAACCCTACCTAACATTTGCTTTCATGAATATCAAATGTAAGTTAATTCTAAAGGAATAGTCATATAGTGAAATTTTCCGAGAAAATTGTTGTTGAAAGTCGCATAAAATCGCCACATTATGATAAATGCAAAGATGTCTATTAGGATTACGATGGCGATCTTCAATCTTTGATGTAGTGTTGAATTTGTGCTAACTGGCCAGAGTGCGAGCGAACCTTTAACCCAATTGAAGAGGTAAATAGTGGCAGCATCGGCAAGAAAAGCCAGCTGCCTTCCTTTGGGCGAGAATGACAAAGATGTGATAGTCTGATCCTTGGAGTCCCCTTGCAGCACCGTGACCAGGGAGCCGTCTGATGGGCGCCATACGTGCACCATCGCCCCTTCATCTTCCAGCAAGCCATTGGGATCGTCCACGATGCTGCCTTCCTGACACGCCGTCGCGACCATCATTGGTTCCCCGTACGAGCGCGCCAACGCAGTCACCACAGTCGAGTGCTGAGCGTGCAGAACTTTTGGGGGCATGGGTCCTGCCACAGCACAGGACAAGTTTTCAGTGCCTTAATGATATATATGATTCAAAAACTTACTTTGACCACGCGATAATTTGCTTCACAAGTATATACGTTAGGAATTTAATGCGATTCAAGCAATCTAGTGACATTAATTCAAGCATATGCGTTCTATATGTTTTGAAAAAAATCTTAAATAACCCATCGTTTTCTTTCCTCTAGCATTTATTGATGTGGACAAATCTGAACTGTCTCAATAATTTGTTTCTTTTCCTAGTTTTTGGGTACTAGAAAAAACCTCAAATGTTTTTCGAAGTTAATAGTGAAAATTATTCTACAGTTGCTCGAATTGGCGTTGCAGCAACAGAATCCTCAAGAGTTATTCTAACCATTCGAGATGTCCATCTTGAGAATCTTATTATTGTCCAGGAAGAGTATGGTGTCATCATTGAGCAGAGCAGCGTTAGAGACGAGTTTGATGGCCCCGGCATCACCCGGGCGTAGCGAGGGCAAGTTTTTATTAGGCTTTGTTCCAGAAGTCGCCTCATAGTTCTTGTTGAACATAGAGGTGTGTTGCTTGAGTATGCCGGGAGTTAACACCATAGTTTCATCCAGCCCCTGAACGTCGAGGTCCTTCAGTGATATTGCTGCAACACGAAAACATGAAACTCTCATCAACTCACAAGAATGAAGGACAATGTTTTAATACCTCATTTGGCAAGTACCAATAATGCTATCACGTTTCTGTCAAGCATTGACTCACGAAAGTTTGACTCGGATGCTTGCTCAGTTTCGCCATCAACACCATCGTTTACCGTCGAAATGATTATTTTCGCAAGAGAGCGAAGCGAGTGCTAAGTAGGCTTAAATAATAAAATTATACAAGAAGAATCTGCTTAGAAAATATATTGCTCTGTAAAACGCATAAACTTCATTGTGGACATAAGTAATATCGACTAATCGACATGAGTGATCGACTAATTTTACATATAGGCTTTCAAAAACGATAAACGTAAGTTATTGAAAGTAGGTTAGTTACCAGTGACTCAATTTGAGGCCACCAGACCACGGATGGAATTTAGACAAAATTTATAAATGTAACCTTCGATTGCAAATTCCGAGTCTGCAGGTCGTGGCAAAGATATTGATCGCGATATAAGCGAATTACAGAAAAAATATATTCGAGCATGCATATTCTCGAAAGACATTAATATCTCCAGTAAGCTAATAATACAGTGTCGGTGAATATTTTGGTAAGTATTATAGGTTCATGCATCAAAGAAATAGAACCGTGGACTATAGGAATAATGAGCTTATCCAGCCGTTGACAACTTCGTTACGAAGGTATTACAAGGTGTTACAAGGACCTCTGCAGCCCTTAATACCTTCAGTCCGAAGGTATTATTAAGGGAAGAAGGTATTCATACAAGGCACGTAGGTATTATTGTAACTGCGGAGGGTAGTTACAAGGACCTCTGCAGCTCTTAATACCTTCAGTCCGAAGATATTATTAAGGGAAGAAGGTATTCATACAAGGCACGTAGGTATTATTGTAACTGAGGAGGGTAGTTACAAGGACCTCTGCATCCCTTATACCTTCAGTGCGAAGGTCGAGAGGCACGGTAGGCGGGGCTGCGAATTGCTGAGGGGACGAGTGAGGAGCCTTCAGGAGGTGCGCGTCGAAGTCGTCCTCGTCTTCAGCGGCGTGACCGACGACCCTCCAGACGATGACGGCGGTGTCGGCGCCCCCCGTGCTGACGAGGAACTCGTCTGACGGCGACCAACCCACATTGGTGACGTGGCTGCAGTGCCCCGCATAGTGGCGGTACTTTTTCAAGGAGCCCTGGCATCAAAGTCACAAGCGCTTTTAGCTTACACTGACATCAAAGCCCCAATGCTTTTAGTTTACATTGAGGTTACTTGGGCTAACTAGAATCTTGAATTAACGTGCTTTCTACGAACCATCTCTGCAAAAGACGAAACCTTGGCGACTACTACATGTTATCCTTGATTATTGTAGTGAGACATAGGGTAAAGTTGATGATGAATGATTCATTTGCCCACAAGCTGAATGAGCTCAGGAATACGAGATCGTAAAATGTCTAAAATTGAATTAGGAAGCAATGCTTACAAAGCAGGGATACGCGAAGAGTCTGAGCAGACCGCAGTTGTCTGTAGCCGTGGCAACGAGCGGCAACTTGTGAGCAGTGGCGACGGCGTTGACGTCTGTGAGGTCCATGCCCTTGTCCCAGATGCCCTCGAGGGAAACATCCAAGGGGCACGTCAGGGGCATCTGCCAAGCCAGCTCCTTGGCCGCAGCGTTTGGTATGAGCTGCTGCCGACCTCCAGGAGCTTCATAGAACAGATCCTCGCCATCGCCTGCCAACAATATGTAGTATTATGGAGCATATACTATATTAAATGGGTAGTATAACATATATTATAGGGGTAATAAAACATATATTATAGGGGTAATAGAATACATATATAATAGAGCCTCATATTTAGCAGCGTTGAACCTCAGTGCCAGGTGAGGTGCGTTACGAAGGACGCCGCCCCCCGACACACCCCCACTCTGCGCAGGCCACCACCCTCGCTGGTCATGGCGCTCCCGTCGGTGTCTACGACGTACAAGTCCACGACGCCCTCATGGGACGCCACCGCCAGCAGCCGCCCGTCGGGGGAGAACTTTAGGTCGGAGATGGCCTCCCGGCGGTGGTGGGTGCCGCCTAGGCGTGTGGTGGCGGGGTATGTCAGGACCGCCACGCTGCCTGACAATCAACCATTTTATTATTCTTATATATATTAATCCTTTCACTAATTTGTTGATCAACGAGCATTAGATTATTATTCTACTTTTAAAATAGAGCATGTTAAGCGTGCATGACTAAATGAAGTATAATTTCGAGACCAAGATGCTATTTAAGCTCGTCATTCATTCGGTCAAAACTACTCGTTTATCTTAGGTCGGATTATATAATCGGCGATACATATTGTTAAATTCACAGTACATTAGGAGACTCGGTATGGATAAATTTAGAAAATACTCGAGCTACGAATCTTCTTTACGACACTGTAAGTATTATGAGCTCAGAGCACAACACATGAACTAAGACTTTCCCTTATATTCATGGCTCGATAAGCATTATAGGCACAGTAATACGCAACGCCGCAGGCACCAGCGTTGGACAACGCCCCTCAAGGCCCACCATCGATGAAGCCGACGGCGAGGACGGCCGCCGAGGGGTGGAAGTGCACGGCGCGCGCAGGCTTCCTGAGGGCGCAGGAACCTAAAGCGAGGGAGGCGTCCAGGTCCCAGATCCTGAGGGAGCGATCGTCGCTCACCGTCACCGCCACGTTCAGGGTGGGGTGCATGGCGAGGCCCCACACCTCCCCTTTAGAGTGGCCCTGCGCATTTATTTTACCTTAATATTATCTTGACATTGTCTTGACTTGTGCATAGCGTGTTGGAAGTCGTGCAAGGAGTAAACGTAGCGAGTAAAATATGTTATAGTTTATGTACAAGTCGTGCAGAGCGTCAATATAGTGAATAAAAGACGCTATAGTTTTGTACAAGTCGTGCAGAGCGTCAGTACAGTGAATAAAAGATGTTATAGTTTTGTACAAGTCGTGCAGAGCGTCAATACAGTGAATAAAAGATGCTATAGTTTTGTACAAGTCGTGCAGAGCGTCAATACAGTGAAAAAAGATGTGATGTATATGTTATAGGTACAGGTATTTTTTTATAGGTTGAGCTATCAGTATGTTCCGTTAATTAGTTTGTGTGTAATAGCTTTACTTATTTCAGGTATCTGATCAATTATTACAACACTTCTCTTTAGCTTCACTTCTTGTTTGTCTGTCTGCTACAAATCTAATAATCGAAATTTAACACACTTCTACTTATCCTATCGATCTGAAATTTTGCACACTTGCGTAAAGTTGGAGATAATGCATGAATCAAATGACAAAATTAATAATTTTAAAATAATTTTATTTTTTATATAAAGAAAACTGGAAAAATAATTTTGTCTGCTACAAATCTTATAATCAATATATAACACACTTCTAGCTGTCCAATCCATCTGAAATTTTGCAGACTTGCGTAAAATCGGAGACAATGCATGAATCAATTGACAGAATAAATAATTTTGAAAATTTAATTTCTTTTATGTATTAAACAATTAAAAAATTATTTTTTTATATTCAAAATTAAAATTAGAAATTCATTTTACCTGTTGTACATTGGAGACACGGGATTTTTTAGAAGTGTTGTCTGTAAAAATTAATTTCTAAACGTATATTTTAATGGCTCATATTTTATCAGTTTATTATTCTAACCAAAAATAGCAAGTAAAATGTCGCCAGTATCAAAGTTGCCTTGCTAAATTCATTAATTTGAAACCCCCAATGTATTATATATATATATATATATATTATATATTATACATATATTACATATATTTCTTCTTTACAAAATTCTTCCTTGGTCTGTACAAGAGGAGCGCTCCAGTTAGATAGATCCGCTCCACCGCGCCACTAACGCTGTAACATCGATTGCTGGTTGATTACGTCGTAATGTCTTTAATGACGTTGAGTCGACGTCTCATGATTGCTGGGACTAAATTTTAATGAATAATGATTGACAATGTTGTTCGAAAAAATGCATTTTAACAGCGGCAAAATCAAAAGAACGGAAATACTTCTGCTATAATTTTCCCGTAAAAACTTCACGCTAACAAATAATAGGCAGGCAATGGTGATGTTATTCGCTGTTTTCCTGAGTGATTTTATTCCATGAACACTTGACACGTCGATAGTAAATTATTGTCTAACACTTTTTGATTAAAAATATTTAGCTATTTTCTTGTTTCTAAGAAATTTTGATACCCACTAATACTAGTGCTGGATGTGCACTTCCACGCTTTATAAATCGCATAAGATGGAAACGGAGAGCTTAGAATATTGACGTCGTTAAAAATTATACAAAAATTCATCGATATCGTGGTGGGAAGTGAGGTGCTATAGACATTTAATTAAGTTTAAAATGAGAGTTAAATTCAAATTAATGCCCTATCAAGGCATTAATTGAAGTTATCGCGACCCAAAATGAAATCAGTGCAAAAAACAGTCACCATTTCAAAAATAAAAACAATTTTCAGATTTTTTTCAGACCCGTGTAATCAAACTTAAACTTGTAAGAAAAGCAGACTGGGTTACCAGTTTTTCCCGGTGCATTTTTGCGGTTTATTGAGTGACGGATAAATGATCGTTATACGTGCACGTTTGTATGTGGCGAATAGTTGATTGATTGGCGAATAGTTGACGAATAATTGATCGTTTTCAGGAGGCGAATGGTCGATTGTATATATATGGCGAATAACTGATCCTGTGCACGTGGCAAATAAGTGATCACTCGCACGTGGCGTATAATTGATCGTATGTGTATGGCGAATAATTAATCTTGTGCATGTGGCGAATAAGCGATCGGTTGCATGTGGCGAATAAGTGATCGTTTTCTTGTGACGAAAAAATGACCTGTATGATTGATATAGCCTGCATGTGACTGATCGTTTGCATCTGGTGAATGTCGTATGTCTGTCGTGTATGTGAGGCTCCGCTAATTTTGTTTACAGAGACCCAATCTACATGCGGTGGACGACGTCTGAGTTGCCCATCCTTTCCATGGTGCGGAATTAAGATTCAAAGTCACCATCAAAATGAGGGCACCATCACATGAGGGCAAAAAGTGCTCTTTTCTTTACATGAATTTAGAACACATTTTAAAAATCAGTATAGCACATCCAATCATTTTAATCAACGTGGAAACTATTTAGCCCTCTTTTCGATCATTATTTAGGTAATGCATATAGATGAACATTTATTCTATGTTTTATCTATCCGAAAATCAGTCTACGGCCTTCTACAAAAAAAGATCCGAGCTGAGAATTAGACTTTCCTCAGTCGGACTCAGAGCATTAATCATTGTTAGAAGAAATGCAGTAATGAAGGTTAGGTCAATGCATTTATACTCGTTCGATGTTTTATGAACATTTGTGACAAATTCTGCATAAATTTCAAAATTCCAAATTGTCATAGTTAGATAAAGTGTGGGTTGTTTTTAAATTTATATGCAAAGTCAATTCTACTTGAGATTAGGAAATGACGGATTCGTAGCAACTTGTCATATGAACTAAGCATTTAAATCAAAGAAAACGCCGAAAAATTCATTTTGTCTGCAGTGAAAACTTATCGGAGTCCAGCTCCATCATCAGTACAAAAACTTCATTAATACGATTTTTGCCAAAATTGGACCTACAAATTGCATAAGGAATGCAAAACCTATTGCATAGGTTTCAACGGTTTCAAGGAGATACGAACTCATAACATCGTTTACTCAGGTGACGTCATAGTTTAAAGAAGGTGACAGAGTACCACGAGTAGCTATCGCTATAAAAATTTCACCACGATGGTATGCTGCTAATGTATCCACCGCAGCTATTTATAACCGTCCAATTGTCAAACTCTGAAGAAGAGGATCAACAATGATTGAACCGTAACCGATGACGTGAGCTCCTCTAGGTACAAGAGCAGCCACTTAAAGCGCTACTTTCGAGGAGCTACTTCAAGAACCCGAATAAATTTATCGAACTGAAACTTTTAACGCGTGCTGCGTCTAAGCTTTATCAGGATTTCTAAGTAGAAGCCGAGCCAACTGCCACAACCAAACATGATTGAGGCTGCATCTTTCCATCACAGAAGACCCGGTGCGGTACTCAATAGTAGCTCTATCGTCCCCTTAGATAATATAATTATTAGAAATGATACATGAACGTGCGTTGATGTATACAATGGCAAGTGCGGATCCTAGGCCATCAAAGTTCGTTGCTGCATCATTGCAAAACAAACAGTTTTTGGATTCTTCAAAGTTCATCTTATTAACAAATAATCTATATGCTCGATGAATCGACACTGAACTTTTTTCACTGCGACATTCACAAATATACACGGCAAACTGTTTGTACGTTGTTAAGGCGCGAGCAAACTTCATTTCTTTTATAAGTGTTGTGAACTTGTTCAGTAGGAACTAATTGATGACAGATGTTGTGTTTTGGTGAGAGCTTTCAAAATAATTGGCTCCTGGCCGTGGAAAATTTAACCGATTTGCGGTAGCTATACGAAACACATAACGGCATATTTTTGTATCAGAAATTGGCGATCATTTTCTGGATTAATAACAACAGGTTTGCCTCAAATGTCAATTTTTTCAATTGAAAAGATGTGATTAAGGGGACCGACTACCCTCCGGAAAAACTTCTACAGTTTTTATCCGATCATCATGAAACTTCACATAAATACGTAAAATGTAAAAAAATGACATTTTGCTATTATGAATTTTTCGAAAAAATTGATAGAAAACGTGAAATTTATAGGAAACGGCTAAAAAGGGGTACTTTAGAAAATCTATCTCCTCCTACAAATATCATCCTACAACATCGAGACACATATCATTCGGTTCGTAAGGACCATACTTATAGATATGATGATCATTTTTCTCATTTTCCTCTTAGTTTTTTTTTATGCGCGTTTTATCCCAATTTTCTCATTTTTTCTCATTTTTCCCTCATAGAGCGAGTGGCTGCACACCTTTCACCTCGCTGTCATGATGGGCACTGAAAGACCTGGCTGCATCTGGCAGTATATCAAGACACGCCCCGTAATTAATGCCTTAGGAATTTGTTAAGGCCGCCCCCCACCGCCCCCCGTTCCATGGGGCGTGGTGAACGTAAAAATGGAGGTAGAAAGATGATTCTACCACCAATGGAATCGTCAGAAAGTAAGCTTTAAGATGAGTATGAGCACCGGATAATGCCATGATTGGCCGCTTTACGTCAGACGTTCCTTTTTAGTGTGTCTAGCCTTCTAATTAATCCCATAGGCTTCAGTTAAGGGCTCTAAAAACTCCCTCCCTTCGGGGGGCTGTTACGAAATCATTTTTTGACGTAGAGGGATGACTTTGGTACCGTTGGATGCGTCAAAAACTAAGCTTTAAGATGAGCTCAAAAACCGGAAAACGCCAAAATTGAAAATTTTAGGGGAGTCGGTCCCCTTAAGTCGACGTAAAAACATAAGAAAGATTCAATTTTCACCAGAAAATACGTCAATTAATTAAGCTTATGTTGATTGATTCACATCTGCAAATGGACACGATCGCGTTCAATGCCAGTTTTTACAACACTTCTCTTTAACTTCACTTCTTGTTTGTCTGTCTGTCTGCTACAAATCTTATAATCAAAATTTAACTCACTTCTACTTATCCTATCGATCTGAAATTTTGCACACTTGCGTAAAGTTGGAGATAATGCATGAATCAAATGATAAAATTAATGATTTTAAAATTAAATTTTTTCAATATTAAAAAAAACTGAAAAAATAATTTTGTCAGCTCCAAATCTTATAACTGATATTTGACACACTTTTACCTGTCCAATTGCTCTGAAAATTTGCACACTTGTGTGAAGTCGGAAGCAATGCATGAATCAATTGACAGAATAAATACTTTTGAAAAAAAATTTATACATTAAAAAAATTGAGAAATTAATTTTTTTAATATTCGAAAATAAAATGAGAAATTCATTTTACATCTGTAACATTGGAGACACTGGATTCTTTAGAAGTGTTGTCTTCAAAGAGTAATTTTTAAACGTATATTATTTGAACAAAGCTTGGATTGACCATGCATTCATTATTATACAGCAAATATACAATTAATAGTATTAGAAATTAAACGAAAGGACTGCTAATTCAGTCAGAAGGAAGCTTTCATCAAGCGAAGAGTACAAAGTTAGATGCAAACGTGAAACGGCCAGGGCCCATACTTTCAAAAAAAGTTAAGAGATCGTAAGTTCATCAGCCAATCATTGACGGCCTTTCAAGCAAAATCCACCAATCATAGACAAGAAAATAGAGCGTAAATACTTACGTTCATTTAGCGAGTTTTGAAAGTATGGCCCCAGATCTTGAAGTACATGATGGTTAGATGGCCAAGCCATTGATGTCAGTATTGCCCAAATAGTAACTGCAAGTCCAAATCAGGAAAAAAATGTTGTCTGGCTGTGTTTCGCGAGCGAAAATGGACTCAAAAGATCCCAAAGGCAAGTTATTCACCTGAACAATTATCTTGAACTTGGAGGTGTTTGCATGGCCGCCTCCTACAGGCATGAGCAGGAGCTCGCCTTGCTGCGTGCCCACCAGCAGCGGCAGGTCTCCGCCAGCCAGGAACGACAAACTTCGCACGCTCGGTTGCGACGAAGTCAAAGTTATGGCCACGTCAGGGTCCAAAAATTGATCGTTGATTGGGAAGACTTTGATGCAGTGGTGAAGTTCCAGATCGTACTGGCAGACGAACCCATCGTCACCTCCGCTCCAGACAAACTGCGTCATACTTCAGTTATTACAAACTGTAATAACTGAAGACGTAACATTCTAGCCGCATTTATTACAATCAAGCATCTCTTGCTGTACTCGCTCTCACTCCTTTACGTATCAATACGACTCAAGTTTCGAACATGATCAAAAGCACTTCTTAAATTAAGGTATTTCCTGAAGGTGAGCATATTGTATAATTAAAAGTACTGGTCACCTCGCCGTGCACGATGATGGTGTGCAGAGCTTTCTTGTGCGCCTTGACTTTTTTGTCGACCTCGCCGTTCTTAACAGCGATGATGTGTCCGGACGAGAGCCCCAGCAACCACAGCTCCTGCCCGTCTGAGGTGCACTCTGGTGACACCACACCACAAGCCAGGCACGTTTCCTGGGCCCCACAATTGAATATTACCTACTATACATACGCCTGAGACCACACGTGAATTTTATCTCCTGCACATACGCCTAGACCACTTGAATGTTCCCTCGTACACAAACGCCTGGACCCACACACCAAAATGTTACACCGTATACATACGCCTGGGACCACACACTAAAATATCACAAAGTACACATACGCCTGGACCCACACACTAATATGTTACACCGTACACATACGCTAAATGCTATCATTTTCAGACATTTCTGTAGTCATCGTTGTTCGAGCGAGTGTTGTAAATTAAGGTTCCACGTCAACAATTTGCGGATCCATGAAATCACTTTACTCATGGTTGACGTACAATTGAAGCGAGTGGGAAACTTATTATTTCTCGCCTTAGATCTTATTTTGAAGAATATAAAAAGAACAGGCGGCAGCACGTACGTGCTAATAATCTTCCGAAACTTAAGTACGTCCACTACTTTGGCGTGGGTTCCTAACTAAAGACCGCTACGATACCTCCATCATTGCGCTCATGTTACAATCATGGATAATTTACCATGGTAATAATTCCTACATGTTAATTAATTCAACGGGAGCAGCCGTCTTGAAGCCGACTGCCTCTGTCCCTACAAAATTTCCATTGCATGCGTGGCGTCCCAGCATGCAAGTCCCAACAAGACTGGCGCATAATTATGTCCTGATGGCTCACTTGTCTCAGTTTGATGCCGAGTTTGACCTGCCGCCACGTGAGGCCGCCGCCCACTTGCGTCCATGTCTTCGAGTGCCGCACGCCAAACGTCAGCAGCTTGCGGGAGTTGCTGGCGCTGAACCGCACGCCGAACACTTTGTCAGAGTGCGCCCTGATGCACATTTATCAGCTTGATGATCATTTAGATATCCCTGATACTAATTATACCGTCCAAGTTATCAACTTAATGGTCATTTAGACATCGCCGATACTAATTACAACGTTAAACTTGTCAGCGTAATGACAATTTATAAATCACTCGCACTAATTTCAACGCAAAACATTTAAGCCAGCAATCAGCTTGGCTGGCGAGCTATTTCTAAATATCCGCTAAAACATTTATTAGGTCAATAGTCATTACAGATCATGAAGCAAACGATCGGGTTACTGAAACGGACGCTATTAGAGGCCCGACGCTCAGAAGTTGACAGCTGCTATGTCTCTGCCATCAGTTCATTGCCATCAACGACAAGAATTAAACTCGCCGCCTTTTGACGTTGGAAGCGAATGTATGATCGTCGTAGAGCTAGAAGAACTTACGATCACTGTCGGGATTTATGATCAAGTAAGCTTACTAGAGCAGATAAAAAACCAATCATGGAATGATCCAGAATACGGCATCAGCAAAGACCGGGAATACGCAACCAGAATAACCCAACAGAAGGATTCGAACACTTGCACCTGAAATTGCCTGGTGAACTTCACTCTTGTGGCACCAGTTCATGCGAATTGTAACATTAGGTGTCCCAGTGGCTACAGTTCTGAGTACCAGGGTTGGAGCAGAAAGTTATGGGTTCGACTTCGGCTTCCCCTGACTGTTCTGATCAAATTAATCGGCGAAGTTAACGGGCGATTGAGCACAGCAAAATTGGATCAGTGAAGTGCGAGTTCGAGACCGCAATAATCTGTGAATATTCCGCGATGTTAAGAATCGGCGACAAGTCTAACGGCCTAATGAACGCTGACTCCGCTAAACTAATACTACTACGATGACCCAATTGATTAGAAGCGGTCATTAGATTCGTGACGCCTGACTATGACTGAAGGCTTACAGCACCTGGCGCTGGCGAGCTTGACGCCCTTCTGCCAGTCCCAGATGACCATGGAGTTGGAGTCGTCGAGGCCGATGGACGCGAGGCGGTCGCCGTCGCGGGAGAATGCGAGGCACGAGACGCCCCTCACGTGCCCCCCCTCCAGGAATGATAAGATCCTCAGGGTGCTGCTGCTCCACACGTGCACCGTCGCCGCCTTGCCCATCTGTCCGAGCAGATCGTACGGCGAAATGAATGGCTCATCGTAAAATTTCGTCGGGTTCTATTCAAAATATCTCAAAAGGTGACGTGACAAATTTCAAACACAAAATCAGGATTGAATGACATGTGAGGATGAATCACCTGACCAGAGGCGACAGTGATGCCGTCAGGATGCACCACCAGGCAGAGGATGTCGTCGGTGTGGTGAAGGTAGTGACGCTGCTTGTTCTCCTGAGGCTCGAGGACCACACATACGCCTGCCACGTGATACACGAGGCTGCCGTCCCCCAGCCAGTGGGCGTTGTCGCGGCACCCGTGGGCTCGGTACCTGAGTGCCATGACCTCAGTACCTCAGTGCCCCCCAAAATCAACCCGTTGCTTAAACAGGAATTACGAGTAATGCGGAAAGAATGTCAGGAAAGGCAGATTCTGCCACGTTTGAACGGTGGTCGTGCGTAAGTAAGTTCGTGTAATTTCTTTCTTTCCGTTTGGTGAAGGTTCTACCTCCGTAAGCTCGCGGAAAAGCTCATGTCAAATTAAAAAAATATATATTTGCATGCTCTTGGAGAGAGCATACGATTCAAAATAGCGTAAAAGATTTTAGTTTGTTATTTTAAAGAAATAGCCATTTTTTTAATAGCGTAAAAGATTTTAGTTTGTTTAGTATTGCGTGCTCTGCTGCAACTGCATGGCCTTGAAATTCTCTACTGTAATTGACTGGACGGTACACAACTTGGGAGGCGATGGGCAAGACGAGTTGGGTAATCGTAAGTTTGTCAGAGCCATTTCTGTCTATTTAAAGGAGATCTTAAAAGGAGTGAAAGGAGAACTTCAAAAGGAGATAACGTATCTACATGCGCCCCTTGAGGCACGTTTTACAAACGAAGCCTGAATTTCACAGACGGGTAAAAGAAATTGCCGATGCTTGACCATTAAATAATATCTCTCCAAGACAGACTTCCCATTCAACTTATCCAGCGAGGGCCGTCATGGTGAAGCACTGCACACAGCAGCGGCGTACTGTGTTGACGTCATATTGAATATAAAATTAGCTCAATATGAACTCAATATAAGCAGTGAAATGAGTTTTCTTACCCGAAGACGTGTTTCATTTTAAGGTAGTGATGAGGGGGCGTGTCAGGTACGGCGGTGTCGGGGTCCGAGGCGTTCACGCGGCTTCTGAAGGCGCTCGTCGGAGGCACCTCCGCCGGAAGCCGCCGGCGGTCGCTCCTCGAACTGTAGGGGGCGATGCGTCTGCGGGGGCGGCACTGACTTATTAATGTAATCGAACTGCAGATGGCACTGCGGCTGCGAGGTCACCAGTAGTCACCATTAGACACCAGTAGTCACCATTAGACATCAGCAGTCACCATTAGTCACCAGCAGTCATCAGCAGTCTCCAGTAGTCACTAGTCGCTCACCTCGGAGGTAATTTCATTCCAGGGTCGACGATTTCAGCCTCCAGGTCGAGCGTGAGCTCAGGCAGGCCCTCGTACTCGTCCTCCGTGTCCAGGAGCTCCTCTCCGCTGTCGCTGTCGTGCGTCACGGGACTCAGGCTCACTGCAACATACAAGTGTGTCACGGGACTCAGGCTCACTGCAACATACAAGTGTGTCACGGGACTCAGGCTCACTGCTAGCGCTCTAAAGTGAGGCGAGCAACACTGGGGCCATGAGCTGCGGGAGTCGAGCGCTCTAAAGTGAGGCGAGCAACACTGGGGCCATGAGCTGTGAGAGTCGAGCACTCTAAAGTGACGTGAGCAACACTGGGGCCATGAGCTGTGGGTGTCGAGCGCTCTCTGAGAGGTTTCGGTTATCGCAACGCTAATGCAAAGCCATCTAATCACTTCAACTATAACAAGATCGTTGCACTCGGCACTTGAACTGTGTAAACATAACCTTATCTGACCAAGCACAAGAGAGTCTTGCTTACCTCTCTTGGGACACGGGAAGCGGAAGAGCTTGACCAGACCAAAGTCGTCGCCAGCTACGATGACTCCGTAATAGAAATTAGCGTCCGTGGCGTTGATGTCGCTTAGATCGGCGTACTTGTGCCATAATCCGGCCACCTAAAATACGGGATTACATTCTAACCTACGATTATATTTTACTTGTAATACCCATAACAATCGGCAATTATATTTAAATGGAGCAATTACAAAGTCGAGTTTGAACTGTTATCTTATAGTTTTTGAATAGCTAGACGCAGAACTTATATAACAATCACATACACCACATAGAAGTAACACTATCACTACCAGTGATAAGGGAAAACTCTCCTACGCCCTGAACTCTTTTATCCAAGATATCACAGAACATATTGCAAAAAGATATCAAAAAGTTTCCCAGTTTACAGCCTCGAGCAACATTTGTGTTGCGTTGTAGCTTGTAAATTAAGGCGAGGCGTTTAGGACGGACGGACTCACAGGCTGTCCGAGCACGCCAGTCCACGACGCCCACTCGAACTCCGCGGGCAAGTCGGCCTCGTCGATGAGCTCCGAGCGCCCATCTGTTGGTGGTAAAAAGAGG